TGTTGTTGCGAGATGCAAACAGATCTAGGTGAAATGGACCCCGGTGTGCGGCTAGACCCTGGAAGATCTGTGGATCCAGTTTCCAGTCGCTGGCATCCCTCCAGTGGCGTGAAAACCAGTCCGCTGTGAGGTTCGTTTCCCCGGGAAGGTATTCCGCTTTGAGGGAGATGTTGCGGGGTAGGCAGAAATCGAAGATCTCCTTCGTTATTTCCGAGAGAATCCGGGATCGGGCACCGCCCAGGCGGTTGATGTAGCGGACTGCGGAGATGTTGTCCATCCTTAGGAGGATGCAGCAGTCCGTCTTTTCTTTTGCCAAGCTGCGGATGGCAAATGAACCTGCCAGGAGTTCCAGACAGTTTATGTGTAAACTGAGGTCCTGGGAAGTCCAGGTCCCGTCTGTTGACGTGCCTGCGCCTGTGGCGCCCCATCCCCAGAGGCTGGCGTCCGATTCCAGGACTATGTCGGGCGTGTTCCCGAAGATGGCCCGACCGTTCCATGCTTCCATGCTGTCCAGCCACCATCTGAGTTCGTCCCTGACCTCGTCCGTGACCGGGATTGGTTGGTCGTAGGATGGGTTGTGTCTGAGGAAGGATGCTTTGAGGCATTGCATTGCCCTGTAGTGAAGTGGGCCCGGAAAGATCGCCTGTATGGAAGCTGAGAGGAGTCCCACTATTCGAGCGAGGGAGCGGAGTGGAATGGTGTGGGCGCGAATGGTCTTGCGCAGTTCTTTGCGAATATTCGAGATCTTTGATGCAGGTAGCCGTAGAGTGCTCGTGGTAGAGTCTATCTCGAAACCTAGAAATTGCACCGTTTGGGATGGTGACATGGCTGACTTTTGAAAGTTCACTATGAAGCCCAGGGATGATAGCAGGTCCGTGGTATAGTTCGTGTGTTGCGTCAGTCTGGACTTGTCGGAACAGAACAGAAGGAGGTCGTCCAGGTATATAATGCAACGAATTCCTTGTGCGCGAAGATGAGCGACTACTGGTTTCAGTAGTTTGGTGAAGCACCATGGAGCCGAGCTGAGGCCAAAGGGAAGGCATGTGAATTGCCAGGGGTGATTTTGCCAGTGGAATCGTAGGAATTTTCGGCAGGACAGGTGGACGGGTACTGAGAAGTATGCATCCTTTAGGTCCAATCTCGTGAACCAATCTCTGTCCTGTAGTAGGTCTCTCAGGAGGTGTATGCCTTCCATCTTGAAGTGTCTGTACGTGACGTATTCGTTGAGTCTTTTTAAATTTATGACGGGTCGAAAATCCCCTGATTTTTTCTTTACCAGGAATATGTTGCTGAAGAAACCGTGAGGTCCGGAGGCTGGTTCTATTGCGCCTTTCGATCGAAGGTCCAGCAACTCGTTGTGTAGGAGTTCGGCGTCTTCCGCCGAGCATTTGATCGGGTGCGGTGTGACTGTTTGCCGTGGGTGTGACGTGAAGTCGATGATGTACCCTTGAACGGTTTGTAAGATCCACGCGTCCGTGGAGATGGTCTGCCATTCCTGAAAGAACAAAGATATGCGACCTGCTAGAAGGGGAGTAAGGTAATGCGTTAGGTGATTGCTTACCTGTGGAGAAACGTGCTCTGCCTCGGGTACGTGGTCCACGGCCTCTATCCGCTCCTCGGGTATATGAGGATTGTTGTCTGTATACCACTTCTGGGTAGAAAGAGTGGGGTCTGGAGGTACGGGGGCCTGAAGGCCAGAAACGGCTGGCAGCACGGCCCCTTTGGCAGCCAGCCCGTCCAAAAACACCCCTGGAGGGGGTAATGTCTAAATACTCTCCTCATAGAGGACTGAGCTTTGTTCAGGGAAGTAAAGATATTTACGTGTTTGTTCAAGTCCTTGAGGAAAGGATCGCCAAATAGTTTGCCCTGTGCCAGAGGACCTAATTCCTTGGTGCCCAATTCCACCAACTTTCCGTCGGAGTAGTGCTGCCTTGCGCCGCTCGGAGGAGAGGGCTGTATTCGTGTTACCCACAAAGCAAAAGCATCTTTGTGCCCACTCCCGAACATCATGAGCCCATTCGCGAACCATGGTCGCGTCAAATTGGTCAGCCTTTGAGAGGGCATCGTCTGCCAGGTACATGATCCTGGAGAGCGGTCCTATTGAGTCTAGCAGTTTGTCTTGGACTGCTCTGAAACCCTTCTCCACGCCTTTGCGTGGGTCCCGGCCACCTCGGGACATGAAGGTGGTAATCACTTGGTCAAATTCTGGTGTCTCTGCCACCTGATCGGGTAGAGAAGGTCTTGGACATTCGGACCGTAGTCGGTTGCGGACCGTCTTGTCCATGGATTTTCTCAGCCAAAGATGCATGAATTTTGCGAGGTGATCTGGGGGTGTCCAGTCACCTGAACGAATGCGTCTTAGGTTCCTTGGATCAAATAACTTCTGACCTGATGGGTCAAAGATGGCGTCCTCGTCTTCTTGCGGGTTATCCATGGTGTCCTGTAATTGGAAGTCTCCCAGTAGCGTATGCGTGACGAGTCCGGGTTGGGATTCGGACTCGGAGCCCCATGGGTCCTCGTAGGAGTCTGACCCCTCCACCTGCCATTCATCTAGAATCGCCAAGGACTTTTTGTGTGCATCCTCCTCATCCGAGGAGTAATCAGGTGGCGGAGGCGGGGTATTGTCCTTTGAGGGCTTAAGCCTTTTTGCGGGGGTCTTACCCTTGGTCGGGTTCTGTTGGCCCTTTTCCCCTTTCCAGTGACGTTTGCTGGTGGAGGGATCGTGGCTCGTATGCGGTTCCGAATCTTCGGAATCCGAATTGTGTCGGGATCGGTGGGTTTTTGATGGTTTCCTCTTATCAGCATTAGAGGCCATCATTATGGAGAGAGCTTTCTCCATGGAGGCTGCTACCGCCTCATTAATCATTGTTTGGAGGTCTGCTAAATTTTGAGCAGTTTCCATATTTTTTGTTAATTATTTCTGGCACAGGGAATATTAGAAAAAATAGAGAATTAGAGGTCAGTTTGGCTGTATATTAATATGAGTAACACTATGCTGGCCCTAACAGGGTACCGTAGTGTGTAATATAAATATCTGTACTCCAAGTATAGAGTAAACAACCCCAGCAGGGTGTGTGGTGGTTATGGTACAATGGACTCCAGCAGAGTCTGGTTACAAGGTGAAATAAAGATCCCAGCAGGATCCAAGCTGCCAAGGTAGGCAAAGGGTAATCCAAAGCAGTAATATAAAAATATGATAATAAAAAATAATAATAATAATATTAATAATAATATTAATAATAATATCAAAATTGATGACACCACAATATTGGGCTTTAATATTTCTGGGCCTCACCCAGGATCACAGAGGTGGCCACAAGGCGACCTCTACAAGCAGCACAAATAATAGGGCAGCACCCTTAACAGGCACAGGGTTATGATCCCTTAAGTGCCTTTTAGTATACAGCAGTTTTATAATATATTCGGGTGGACTGACCTCCAGGGGAGAAACAAAACTGCCGGTCGCTGGGTCGCAGAATTGAATATTCAAAATGGCGGCCGCAATCTCGCGAGACGCGAGATTGCAAATGGCCGCCGCCAGAATGCCGGCGGGAAAGGGGAGCTGCATTCTGTGAGGAGACGCACAGTGACAGAGCCGCCGAAGCGGCTGAAAGGGTCGAGATAGAGGTAAGGAGACCGACGGGGAAAACCGCCGTGCGGCTGACAATTACCGCGGGCGGGACATAGGCTATGCGCTGGGTATGGCAGAGAAAAGATTACCTCATGAAGAGGTACAGCAAGGGAGAAACCGCAGTGCGGTACCAAAGGGGGGAGAGGGGGGGACCCCCCAACTACAAAATAAGGAAACTAAAAGTGACTCTGAAGTAAATAAAACCTGAGGGGAAAACAATAATAATTCTAGGGCAAAAAATAACAGGAAATATAAATAAAGTGTATAACATGTATAAGCCTACAAGCTATAAACAAATACCAAATTAAAGTAATGTACAATAAAATCAATAAAATCAATAAAATTAATAAAAATTCAATATATATATATATATATATATATATATATATATACATATAACAGGGGAGCCAAAAACTCTGACCTGTCTGCGATGGAGCAGTAAAGAAAGAGGGGGAGGAGCCTAATTGTTGGGAACTCCTACTCCCTATTGCATTTTTTCATTGGTTAAATGTTTCACTTTCTTTACTGCTGTGGAGTTTAGTAAAGAGAGAAATGCAAAATAGGAAGCCTCCTGTCATGTGATAAAATTCTAGTGTGAGCATACATAGCCTTCAGACTATGCCTAAATAAAGGCTTCTTGATTAGAAACAGTTATTCAAAATTAGGCTACCATTGTAGACAGCAGCTGTACAGTAACAAGATGTGGGCTAGCCTGTTTTACTTGAGAGTTCTTTAGTTATTTGTAGGGTTTCTTTTTCTTGAGGATCTTAAGTTCATCCATTCAGACCTTTCCATTTCTACTGTCTGGGGATAGGATTTCTCCAGGGCACAGCTTTTGTGGCATTAGATGAATATGACATACATATATATATAAAACCAAGAGGGCTGCACTCACCTGAACACACATACATTACAAGGGTGCTGCTGGGGCCAACTCATACAACATACAAGATCCAGAGCACTCACACATTTACTAAACAGCGATTTCAAGTTTCACAGAATGAATAGTTTAGGGTTTTTTTTTAAACACCATACCTAGGCAAAAATAATTGGGGTTTAGTTATAGTATATGATCATACATTGCATAAGCCTGCCACAATGTCAATATACCCCATTATTGGCAGGTACTACTCTAGCAGCCTAATGCCTGCTTTTATGACATTAACCCACTTACTTGGGAAATCCTTCCCCCTGGGACTCTTCTTGCAGTTCAAGGTTAAATAGGGCCCTGGAATGAGGCACCTGTGACAAGGAGGGGTGCCACATCCCAGGGCGGTATTTAAACAATTTTGTGCTGTTATACTCTATTTACACAGAACTGATCATACTTCAGTGTGTTCTATTCAGAGTAAACAAAACGTGATATATTTTTTTTTTTAATGCAAAACAGGCTCAGATGTTTTGTTTTTCAGACCAATCACATTACTGTAAGAAATTAATTTGAAAAATAACATACCATAAGGTCGTGTTCCATTTATCTGACCAACACATGCTGAAAATACCACAAGATCACGGAAACATACACAATAAAATTCCAGACAAGACATGTAGAAAAATGCACATACAATTGCACTTTATTTTATTAAATGACTTAAGGTTTAACTTTTTTGGGGCCAATTTAATGGAAATAAACAGACATATTATCAGATATTTTAACAGACAATCTATCTTCTGTGTTAAAATGTGTTCTGAGTAAGTTTCTTACTTAGCATAAAGTTCCACAAATTACGTACAAAAATGTTGCTTTGTTTCTTACAAATAAGATGTAAAAAGATTGTACCAATCCTCCCAACTGCCACTGTTTAGGAGGCACAGTTCATATTTTGGTCCCAAATCCTTCTTTTCTATCCTAATGTCCCTATTTTTCCAGGAGTTCCTTATTGTTGGTTTGTCTGTGAGTATAACAGAGCTCTACAGCAATAATACTCTCAGTAATGTGTCTTTAAACAGTAAATGTGTTTAGAAATCGGTCTGTATAGATAAGATAAATTATTCTTTTTCTCAATTACATTTTGGTTGTATAAATTGTTATTAGTAAGTCAAGAAGAATTTATCAAAACAGCCCTGCCCTTGGTCACAACCTAAAATTAAAGTGTCCCTCTTTGTCCATTTGAAATGTTGGGAGGTATGTTATTCTTACATTCTACTGTATATCTAATAGGGATTAGTCCAGATATTGCCAGTATAGTCTGGCCTATTTGTGTTTGAATGCCTTGTTTTTTTTCTTATGATGAGAAAATGTTGAATCATTTCTCAATCCACTGATATGTTTATTTTAATTTAATTTTAGTTAATAACGTGAATAAAATATACGTTTAGTGATAGTCCTAATAGTAAAGAAATTTATATTTCTTTATTATTCAATGCTTATTCACTAAACATCAAATTGTAGTGAATCGAAACCCCAATTACAGAATGTAGGCTAGCAATATTCTCCTTGTAGTCACAAATTTGCTAATTTTAGTTATTTCTAGCAAAAATAACTTGCAAAAAAACCCCATAATAATAATAATAATTCACAAAAGTGATAAATGCAACATCTTGATTTAGTAATTGTTTTTGACATTTCATTACCCTCGAGAGTTTGTATTCTGATATTTACATATTTGGAGGGGAGGGGAAAATGGTTCAGAAATATTCTAATAAATATAGTTTCTACATATCGTGTTATAGAGCACTGGCTAATGGTTGCATGTATAGAAGAATGTTAAATATTAATACCAGCAAAAATGGATTTACACATAAAGTAGATTACAAAATTATATTTTTTGTGTATATATATATATTTATATATATTTATACATTATTAAACAATCTCTTAATTTGTTTTGTACATAACACTAAACTGCAGCACATCTGATTGACGCTCACCCTCTTAAAGTCTGTATATATGTATACAATGGCACCCAATGCCTGGCACTCACCATCCCCCAGTTCACTTACCACAGTGCCCATCTTTAGCATAAATAGCTATCCACAAATAAGAAGAGCACTGGTTGGGTTTTTAAAAAAAAAAAAAAGAAAAGAAAAACAGAGTACTGCTTTATTTAAAAAAAGCCCAGTGTTAATAAAAAAAACAATCAATGTTGATCATTGATGTTAACACTGTGCTGTTTGAATAAAGAAGCTAAATGATTTTGATTCACAAACAAGGTAGTTGAGTCTAAAAATGCATACATTTTGTGTACATATTATTGGTGGGTATGTGGATAGTTAAAAAATAAAACAATGTATGCAATATGATTTTTTTTCAATTATTCATTAGTTTTTTCAAAAAACAGCAGGTGATATTATTATTATTATTTTTTTTTAGATATTGTGTGGTCTACCTAATCATTTAAATTTCAGACAGGCTCTTTCGCCATAGAAGCAGAAAAACCATAGTTGACATATAAATTAGGCATGGCAAAAATAAGTTTAATATTCTGCTGATGGACATTTGGACCCTGGTGGCATATTTAACACTATTATGCAAAAATGCAACCAGAATGTAAAAAAACTGCCGGTAATACAGATGATTGGCTAAAATCTAGCATCTCTACAGCATGATATGTCATGCTGGTATTCCACCTGGACATATATCCTTAAGTGTTCAAAGCCCTTCTTTCCCTCCCTCACAGTTAAAATGCATCCTTGGCATTTTAAACCTCTTTTTTCTATGCAACAAGAAAGGAGGGTGGGGGCATGAGGACTCATTTAAGACAGTAGAAAAATGTGTTTCTCTACTGGAAGAAGAGCAATACTGGAGCATAGGAGATGGATACAATACAAAACTAAATAGAAAAGTAATGTATACTTGGGATTGGTATGTAAGTGGTAAATGTTTCCGATTGATATTGGTGGGTATCTGATGGTAACAATAGTATCCTTTCACTAGTGTGAAGTATAGTGAACCGAGAACTAATGTGGACAATGTAAGCCATAATAGCATCCCTTCCACCGCTCTAAAAAAAAAATCTGTTTTAAATTGCTCTCACTTTGCTTTTTTTTGGCCACAATTTTGCAAGTAGGTTCTTAATGCAACTAGCTTTTGAAACAGACACCCTTTTTTAAATGGAAAAAAATAAAGTCTTAAACATGTTCATGAAACAAGATTATTACATGTCGCTGCAGCATCTGGCTCCTTTAAAAATATTGAATATGGAACCAATCTCACTGATTGTATCAAGCACGTTACATGCTTTAATGTACCAAACACTGTAAACATTCAGAATTCAATACTTCAATAGGAAGAGTGTGTTTATATATTTCAAAAAAGCCCTATGTGCCATCTATTCTGTTACCTAAGGGATAGAACTATTGGATTTGCTTCCCTTTGAAGTAAGTTTCTTGTGTACTATGGTAGTACTTTGCGCTTTATGCTTTTTTGTTATGATTAGACAGCTGTAAAATTGGATCCACATACATAATAGAATAGGATCTTTATGTCTTAGAAAAGATATCAAGATTTAACAAACATATTGTTTGGAAATGTCATATGCCGTGAATACATTAGTGTAGTTTATTTTAATTTAAAAAATACTATGTATTCTATATATGTTATTATGAGCGATATATCTAAAAAAGGCTTAGTTTTTTTCAGTTAATACTTTATTGTGCCTTATTGGCATGCGTTTTATCTACATAAAAGTAATGCTTCCAATAATGAAGTGCTATGAAATGCACATTTTATATCTAACATTTTTTCTGTCAAGGCAAAATGTTAGTACATCACATGCAACAATACAATTTCACATTCCTTTATACTCAGTTTCCAAAAATATAATTTTAGAGATATAGTGTTAAATAAGAATTTTTTTTAATGTTTATATGATAATGGAAAGACTGTTCTCTTTGGTTTAACCTTAATTTTTTTTTTTACTGATAGCAAGGATTGTAGAATAAAATCAATAAACTTGATGCAGTTAATTGACCTGCACTTGTGTTTTAGTCCATTATGTGAAACACAGAAATGAATAAAAGTGACCACGTGGCATTCTCACGGGTTCAACATGTCTTCATTCTCTGGAATGTTCGCAGAACACAATTAGTCCAGTTCTATAGAATGCTGGGTGTTAAAATTAAAGACTGTATTACAGCCAATAACAAAACAGGTCTGTCAGTTCGGATGGTCAATTAATCCCGCAAGACATCCTTTGAATTAGAATGGAGGATCAACCACCATTAAGAGATTTGTTTTCCTTGTTCGAAGAGACTCTTTATGGATTATCTTTAGGAAATAGTCACTATTGATTGTATATGTTGTGGTTCATAATATTGGTATTACTCAACGGTTTGGCTAGTTGAGGCTGTCCTTGTGGATGCTCCTGTCGGCAATGTAGTAATGTTGATCATGGTTCTTCCACTGGATACTGGTCACATTCATTGGAGCTGTGATTATGTGCGGCTTAGACTGACAGCAACAGCACAGGCAGGACTGGAAATAAAAGAAGAGTATATTTTAGAAGATACACACATGTAATAAGTGTACAGCTGTCCAAACACGCTGCCTCATTTCATAACTATATCAAAGATTCAACATGTGTAGCTAATTATTCACAATATTTTATTTATAAAGGCATTTCTGATACAAAGCCATTTGAAAACTAAATAAATAAGTACATCATCAAAGCAAAAAGTATTTGATTTCTTAGGAGTATTTCTTGTACCACATGTTGGACTTATTTAATCTCTGCGTTTTTTTTTTATCAGAAAGATTATTGAGGACTTATTAAAGAGGTAGTATGCCTCTCAGGTTTAATCAATAAACTACGCATTGTAGGGAATGAATTTATTGATATGAGAAAATTCACCAACTCTACTGTTGTCCCAGCTTGGCTACTTTAGCCTCAAAAAACAAATGTGACTGTGACATACATTGCCAAAGTTGGTATGAAACATTTACAATCCTTATTTAAACTGGAGGGCTAAACAAATTATATAAAATAGTAGAATAAATGAAAATACAATATAACAATATTTTATTGTTGATTTTATCACTTCAATGTAATTTTAAAATAGTCAATCTTTTCTTTGGGAAATAACAAGGAGTATTCATATGCTTGACATTCAATAAAATAAGTTTAAACCCTTCACTTTGAGTGACTGCTTTATTTAAAAAAAAAAAAAAATGTATATTCACTTAAGTGAGAATTTAAAGCAAATTTCAAATTTAAGGTCGAAATAGCTGAACTAGAACAGTTCTCTAAGTGAGCTTACATTTAAAATGCAACAAAGGATGAATAGCTAGCAGATAAACATAGGATGAAAAAAACAATGTAATTTACAGATTACATTTTAGAGGTACCTAAAAATGAAATTGAAACAGTGGAAAATTAAACAATTTATTATTTTATTTATAATTATTATTTTTACTTTTTGCTTATTATTTAACCAAAATGTAAATGATGTAACAGATTACACTTTATATGTCTGTCATTATCTTGCAATATTTTAGGCTGAATATGAAATATTTGGGTAGAAGCACAAATTTTGGAAAATATTTGAGATATTCAAAGATTGCATCACATAAAAGAGGAAAACTTGACAAATAACCTGTTTATTGAATGTAGTTTTTCAAAAATGTCACTAACACATCTATAACTGGGCAAAATGGCAACACATAGTAAGTACAGTAGCCTAGGTAAAACCAGGAATCTGTACGACAGAGCAAACTGATGCAGTCTGCAAAAGCCTGAGTTTACACAAAGTCCTCTCTTCTTTCTCCCTGGTTGCTATTCAGCAGAATTGTACTGTTGACCATTGTAGGTTCGGTTACAGTGTGGAAAGGGTGTTCTTTCACAGACCCACTGTCTGATAGAGATGGCATTTTAGAAGAGGTGAATTTGAGTATGGTTTATTGTACACATTTTGTATTGGACTGTTTTGCAATGAAAAAGGGACATATGGTACATACATACACAAGATTGGGGGCAGGGAGGCAGGTTAATATAAAATTAGAATTCCTAGACCTGTAACTGAACATAGTTTACTGAAACATCTTATTATATGATTACATCATATGTAGTGTAACTGAGATAATCTGAAAAATAAAAATGTAATTTCTCTTGAACTGGCCTTGACTGTCCTGTAGAAGTTCAAGGGCAATGATTTGTATAAAGACCTATTCTAGAACTAGGTGCTAAACGTTCAGCAACCAGAAAGGACATATCGTTTTCTACCACAATTGCTCCATTACTTGTACTTTGCCCTAGATTATATTCAATTATGCCAATACATTTATCAAGTAGTTATTTTGCAGGTACTATATAAAGGTTTTTTCTTACCTGGAAACAGTTTTTAAACTTCTTGCTCACAAAATAGAGAGCTATTGGATTTATGCACGAGTTTAATGCTGCAAGGTTAATACTGATGAAATCCATTACCAACAGAAAACTAAAAAACACAAAAAAGAGCACATCAACATGACATTCTATATTCCTTATTGTTAATTATGGTTTTTACAAACTTCAGAACGTTAAAGCTGTTAAGTTATGAGGCTAGCGATGACATAGTGATCATATAAAATAAGAGTTGCATATTCACCTTATTTTCCTAAATTAATATCATCTATACCTACTTATGAGCAGCACATGAAACGTGTTGCCCTATCGTATGTAGAATTCAGAAGCTGATTTATTAAATTAAATAATTAGTCAATGAGGAATCCTGCAGAATATACATTATATAAACTGCATGGCATTAGCATGAACTGAAGTTAACAAACAAACTCTACCTCTACTTGGAGGTAGTGCGTGTTACAGTTTAGTGCCTATACAATGAGCTGCTCAACATGTAAAGTGGAATACTCCTATCTCCACAATCAATTTTAAACAAAAACACAATATATGGTATAAAACTATATACCAATTAGTAGAGTGCTAATAAATAAATAAGTGAATAAACAAAATAACTTGTGCTGAAGTTAAAGGGAAACACCAGTGCCAGGAAAACAATCAATTTTCCTGGCACTGCAAGTCCCCTCTCTCTCCCACCTCCCAATCCCCAGTTGCTGAAGGGGTGAAAACCCCTTCAGTCACTTGCCAGAGGCAGCGACATGTCCCACGTCGCTGCTTCTTCCTCCGCCGCCGCTCCTCCTCTGCATTACATTGGCCAGTGGGCGAGACTGATCCCGCCCGCCGCCGGGGAGACCTAATGCACATGCGCATTAGAGCTCCGCATAGGAAAGCATTGAAAATGCTTTTCAATGCTTTCCTATGGGGAATTGAGCGATGCTGGAGGTCCTCGCACAGCGTGAGGATGTCCAGCGACGCTCTAGCACAGACAATCTGTGCTAGACACACGGACGTGCCCTCTAGTGGCTGTCTAGTAGACAGCCACTAGAGGTGGAGTTAACCCTGCAAGGTAATTATTGCAGTTTATAAAAAAACTGCAATAATTACACTTGCAGGGTTAAGGGTAGTGGGAGTTGGCACCCAGACCACTCCAATGGGCAGAAGTGGTCTGGGTGCCTGGAGTGTCCCTTTAACTTGGAAGAAATTAGGAATCCTGAAAACATGGCGGATATGGTAGCCCTGTATACAATATAATACATGCTGGACAATAAACTTCCAGTGCATAACACTGGAATATCTAAACAATTGTATTGAAATGCCCCATAAACCACTGTTTCACTACTATTAGTACAAACATTATTTAAAATCATTTGAAAACATTTACAGGGATACTATAGTCACCAAAACAACTTAGCTTAATGAAGCAGGTTTTGTGTATAGATCATGACTGTCTCATGTCTCACTGCTCAATTCTCTATTTAGGAGTTAAATCACTTTGTTTCTGTTTATGCAACCCTAGCCACACCTTGCCTGGCTGTGACTGACACTGCTTTAATTTTCAATCAGATGTTTGTTTTTATTTCCTGCTCTTTAAATTGAACTTTAATCACACACAGGAAATTAGATGACATTAGGTGACAGGAAATGTTTGGGGAGGCTGTACAAGTCACATGCAGATGTAACTAGGGCTGCATGAACAAAGTGATTTAACTCCTAAATGGCAGAGAATTGAACAGTGAGACTACAGGGTCATTACCTGTACACCAAAACTGCTTTATTAAGCTACAGTTGTTTTTGATACCATAGTGTCCCTTTAAGTTTAAGCAATTAATATTCCTAAAATGTTTATTTTAAGTTTTTGATTGGCAGATTTATAAACTGTACGTATAGTTCTTCAGTCTCACAGTCATGCTAATGTGAAATGTAATAATCTAAAAATTATTTAGTAAATTACCTGAGCAGCTCACATCGCCCAGAATCCAACTCATTGTATACAGTTTTCTTAATTATCCGACTCAAATGTAGAGGGAACCAGCAGAGGGCAAATATCACTACCAGGCAGAAAACAGTCTTTGCTACTTCACGCCGCTGTGTAAGAATATTATACAGTAATTAATATTGTCTTACTTAGCAGAAAAAACACATTCTACATTTTTTGTTGCAACATCACATGTGAATTTTTTTATGAACAGGCAGCATCTATTTAACCTTTATTTAACCCATTCGAATACATTGATGATACTGTACACATAGTTACAAATGTGAAACTACATAACCTATAGTTCTTTGGAATTAGTCTTTTTCCATTGTATTTTATTACATAGCTGTCCAAATTTACTAAAGGTATTAGAATGGGGTTCGTTTGCTAAAATGGTAATAGAAACTGGTGGTGTACCAATAATTCATTTTTATAGTTCGTCGTCCTCTTACCCAGAAAACATGCTTTGTACCTAGTCACTTTAACAAATTAACGTGATCTAATATTAAATGTATTAAACAAACAGAACCAATCATTAAATTCATTTTATGTTAAGTGCTCCAGAGTACATCAAGTTGTTTAATACTCCTGCTCTTTTTATAATGGTTTTATTAAATCTCACCATCAAGCGTTCATTGCAGCTGCACTCACATTAATGTTTTATTTGATTTCATTCATTAGTTTGGATGTTTGTACCCGGTCTGGTTTATATATCACAGCTATCACATTTTTTACAACTCTGTCAGTGGTTTGTAAACTTCTCCTTGGGGAACATAGCCGCAATCACAGTACATCATAGCCGAGTTTAGTTAAGATGAAGTGGAGGACATTGATGAACAATATACAATGGTTGGTGTGCCAGGGCTGTGGTATTCTAGAAGATGAATTTTAGGAGTCCTAGGGTACGCATGTTGCCAAATGGATAAGTTGTGAAAAGATTTACAGTGGCTAATTAGCGCTAATCTAAAGAGACATATGCTATTTATACAATTCATAATTTAACCAGAGCTTTTAAAAATAATGATTGTTTTCAATATGCAAGCGTATTATAAAGCATAAAGCAACGACAACACTGTACCTGTTTCAGGTGTTCACTGAGAGCTATCCTGAGGCTTCCTTTTCTCTGATGTAACATTTCACAAGTCATTAGGGTGTAGAACACCCCTGTACATGCCAGAGGTACACAGAAATAAAAGCCAAATAGCCACCAATCCTTAGCATCTTTGTAGAACTGTAGGAAAAAAAGAAATGTGTATATATATAGATTGTAAGATCCTGTCGAAATTTTTAATATTTTATCTCGTTTGTTGTTAATGTCTCCTTAATAATATTGTAAACCGCTGTGGAATAGGGCTGTTATATAGTTTGAAGCTATATAGATGCTAATAATAATACTATATATGTACACGTATATATATTTTATAATTGTTTGCGTAAGTGAGTAAAAATATATTTTTAAAATACAGTCTAAGGTATAGAAAGACTGACACACATATTGCTTATAACGATGATGTTTGGCATTAGTGTTATTTATATTATCTACAGTGCAATACATCAAATATACTTCTTGGGTTAGCATGTGCTTGGTAAACAAAGAATACTAAAATGAAGGTAAAATGACTGAAAAATAAATGGAACTTATGATCATGCTGACATTATGTTAATGCTGATTTGTGTTGTTTACAAAAAGGTTCTAAAATATTCAGATCTGAGTTGCACCACCAGTTCATAAGCAACATTATATCTATAGTTTGTAATGTATTTTCTACCTAATTACATCAATCTATACATTTCAATGGAGTTTTTCTCCTTGACCATGAATGCTTACTGGTAGGTTAACAATGTGATTAAGATTGTGGACATTGATGGCACTCAACAGGGACCAACTAAGTCCTTCAAGTGACTGATGCAGTGACAGAGGTCAAAAGATCAGTTGGTGCTTAATCAAGTCAAATAGGTTTGTCATTTAAGCTTCTTAGTATCCTCCTTGAGCACAGTGATTTAGATCTCCAGGGAACCTCACAGAAATTCCCTGTAGGCACGCAAACTGTATTTGATAGAAAAAAATGCTGAATTGTAACTTCTCACTTCTAATAGGATTAATCACTACTTTTCTGTCAACATAAGTGTTTGTTTCAAGATGTTCCTATAGAACCAAACAAATGTGACTAAACAAAAACCAACTGGAGTAACATAAGGCCTTTCATTGTGGAGAAAGGAGCAATATTTCAGTACACCGTTCTGTGATACACTGTATAAAATACAACAAGGAGCAAAGTAGAATTTGTTCCCACCCACCATGCGCTGTGAATTAAACCATGTAAACATTAGGATTCGATACAAGCTCTTCCCACATAGACAACCTCCACATGGCAGGCAGTTCACTTCTTCGTCTCAAGAATATTAAAGGGACAATGTAGGCACCCAGATCACTACAGCTAATTGAAGTGGTCTGGGTGCTGTAACCCTTTTTCACTTAGTGTTGCAATGTAAAACATTACAGTTCCAGAGAACTGCAATGTTTACATTGCATCTCTAAGTCTGCCTTCTGTGGCTGTCTACCAGTCACTAGAGGGCTTTCGGAATCCAAACAGACTTTTGGTCCGTTATCTGACGCTAGACGTCTTCACGGACCTCCAGCGTCAGATTTTCCCCATAGGAAAGCATTGAATAATACATTCCTATGGGGAGGTTTAATGTGTGGCTGACGGTGGGGGAGGAGCGTGGGCAGAGCCTGACCCAGCGCCAAGTGACAACTGCGCTGGATTCAGATAAGTGGATGAAGGGGTTTTAATGCGGGATGGGGGGCACGAGGGAGGGGGGTACCTATTATCCTATAGTGCTAGGAAACAGGTTTTCTTCCTGGCACCATAGGATCCCTTTAATTAGAAGGCATGTTATACATGAAAATTTTGTTGTGTTATCAGTTTCACTATATCATATTAATATAACAGTTCTTATTTGTTCGTTATTTGTTTTAATTCATTCATTTAATTAATTAATTCATGAATAATTCTTACTATAAGTCTGGCGATGTTGCTTGAAATCACCATAAACTCAGGGGAGGTGTATATCATATTTTTAGAATACATTTTTTTTTAATTGGTTTATTGAGTCCTTTTTGGTGTTATGTTCACTAGGTCCTTAACAGTGTAGTTATACAGACACTCCTCCCTTACCGACCGGGTTCCGTTCTTACGACTCAGTCGTAAAACGAATTGGTCGGTAAGTGAGGATGCAGTACAGAGCATGCGCACCAGTGCAGGTCTATGTTTAGGGAAATTTCCCCGAACATAGACAAACACAGCAGAGTAGGGAATCCCTCAAATCTATGCTTGGGGAACTTTCCCAGAACATAGAAAAACGCACCAGAGCAGGGAATCGCTGAAATCTATGCTCGGGGAAAATTCCCAGAACTTAGACCAGCCCTCTAAAGTGGGGAGTCCATTAAACCCCGCCCTAGAGAGCTGGTCGTACGTGAGGGCAGTTGTAAAAGGTAGGTCGCAAAGTGAGGACCACCTGGAAGGATTGTGATTGTGTAAGATTGCATGTTAAACATAAGGCACAGGGCCCTTTTCCCTAAACTAATAATAATGGTAAAACTCCTGTCAAAAAGTTTAGGAATGATGAGATGGGGATTGCTTTGGCATAGTTAATTGCTCTAAAAGCTGCTAGCGAGTACTTAATTCAAAATATAGATTGGGATTTATCCTACATTCTAGTTTCATTCTATAAATGAAATCATTAAAAAGGTTTAAGCTGAATGGTGATTAAATGACATTAACATATAATCATATGCACGTGCATCAAGAGTAGTTAAACCTCCAGAATGCTGGAAATGTTTGGCTATCCATACTGACTGTTGATGAGTGTGTTGTGTATGTCTATATAAAGGTCTTCAGAGAGGGACTGTGATTTCACTAGACTGAAAATAAGCGCGAGACCCAAGTTCTGTGTACAAACAGGATTCTAGGAGAATCTGAACTTTTTAGAATAAACTTTATTACCAAACACTCATTAAACACTCTTGAGATACACTGACAAACCAATATTATGCTTTCCATACTCTCAAGAGCGTTTACTCACAGGGAGAATTTCTATTTCAGTGGACAAGCAAAGAACTAAGATATAATGTCACAGAACTCAAAGTATATTTCACTTTTTGCTAACAATAATTTTACATTTCATACTTAGCATCCATTTCCAGGGGGCTGTCAATAAAAAAAATAATAATAATAAAGTCATAAATAAAGATGTGATTATACAGTAAAGAGAGCACTAAACATTGTAAGCTAGTGGACTCAAAAGAGGTTACTACAGACAGCTGGGGAGGGCTTACTTGTGAAAGAGAAGGAATTATGGAAGTATGTGTTGAAGCCAGATGAGTTGGACCAAGAGTGCTTGATTAGGAGAAGGTTGGAGCTCAGGAAGGGGTTGGCTTATAGGGGGCCATGAAACATATTTGTAAAGACATAGGGATGGTGACTGCGTGTAATTATTTCAGTATTATGACAAGAACGAGAAATCTTCACTGCATTTGAGAATCTAAATATTTCTCAGCAGTCAGATGTATATAACAAAATTTTTTATTAAAAGTAAAACGTTATTAAATACATTACCGATTTTGGCTTTGATTTAATATTTTGGAACAAGCTTTTCAAATTTAAGATTTTTGTATAACCTTTTAAAATGTTTTATATTCTGAAAAAAAATAATTATCATTATATATTTTGATAATTTTATTTTTATATTATACTTATTGAAAAAATAATGTTAGAAAGTTTAAAAAAAATTAATTTAATCAATTGAAAAGCTTATGCAAAAATATTAAATCGAGGCCTTTGTTGTAAATACGAGGGCAAGTGCAAGGTTGTCAGCAAGCAAGGGATGTAAAAAAGATGGGGATGGGAAAGGGGCCCGGATAGACATTTGTGGCCTGAAGCGAACATATTTCTAGTCATTCCCCTGCACAAACCTCCTTTGCCTGTAAAGTTTTTGGGTAAGCCAATATATTTAGACTTTTCTATTGGTGGACAAGTATTGTAGTTTTTTCCAAGAATTCAAACTTATAGCTATAATAGTATAAAATGTTAGTTTGAGTTGTTAACCTTTTGAAATTAAACTGCACTGGAAATAAAAACTAACATACTTGCAGATCCACACAGCCTCCATAACTTAAACAAATATGTCTGTGTGGAGACTGGAGAACCTGTGACTGATTAACTATGGGCAATGAACAGAGTGTCCCACTCATCTTACATCAGGGCTTCACTGAAAAGAAAGAAAAGTGCTTTTGTTTTTCAAGCAGGTCCAGATGGAAACAGTTTTCAGCAGGAAGTGTGCATTTAAAACAAGTTTCCTTGTGGAGTACGATTCTCCTTATGATCTATCAAAGATTTCTGAGAGTTAGCTCCCATTTTCCTGTTTTGTTTTTTTAAAGTATTAGTTCCATGAAACTGATCAGGATCTACATTTCTAGGTATTTCAGTATTTTATGTGAACAAAGGCCAGAAAACATAAAATGTTCAAACTGTATCAGTATGGGAGATTGTGCAGTTTGTTTGAGACTTTATCAGTATTAATTTGTGCATAAAAATGGCTGAAGTGATTCTATTTTCTGAACGGAACTCTTTCATGGCTAACAGCAGCCTATAATTTCTGTTTGGTGCATGATTATACCAAAGGAATCAAATACATTGCTTACAACAGTAGCTAGCGTTCATTCACGTATGATAGCATACCAAGTAGTTTAGATAAAATCCACCATTTATTCATCTACATGTAGGCTTTTTAGAAGTATCACAACATAAATGACAATGCCCAACAAAATAGCAAGCTTATAGTTTGTAACATGAAAGAGAACACTGGAGTACAGTGTAAAGGGGGAGAACGGCACCCAACTCAACACATTATATATCTGTTTGTGGTCGGGAACAATAAGAATTGAGATATACCAGTCATTGCATGTCAGTTGAGGTGTGAAACCGATGAACGGGGTATGCCTTAAAAAGAAGGCATGCGTATCAAAAGGGAGAGGTGGGTGGGTTCCAAACTTGGGCGGAAGTCAGGAGGGAGCTGAAAGGACGGAATGTATAGGCACATAATAAACCCCTCCCACAACTACAGGCATTCTGCCTGAACATATGTCTTATTTTATCAAGTCAAAGTACATATGATGCAGACCTTACTTTTAAACATTGATATCCACCCCAACATGTGTCTGAATTAAATGACGTCAGATATATAAACCGTTGCAGCTGGTGAAGGTTTAGGATAGTTTGCTTTGGACTCCACTCCTGTCATTACCTCTATAAAGTCTACTCCTGATCATAAAATGCAGATTACAATTGCAATGATTTATATAATGCCAACATATTTTGCATCGCTTTACAGTAGGCAAACAAGACAAACATGTCATTCTAAAACAGCACATACAAATAAGCTTACAACCTAAAGGAGTAGCAAACGCAAAATAAATACAGAAACAGCAGTTACACCAATTTAACCTCTATCTATTGTGTTACACTGAGCAGCATAAACTACCACTGGCAGTGACATTCTTTCAGAATAAAGATCAACAGAAATGATCAGTTATTCAAGACAAATCATTGTGTAACTATGTGTGACGAAACATTTTCCCCATTTAAAAGAGCTGCATGTTTCACTGGTAGAGGCTGTGTCTAGGGGAATTGCATATGTGCGTTGGGAATTGTGAGCATGGTATTACAAATGTGTGATGATGAGAGGTGTGTAATGGCAATTGTGTGTATGTTTAGTGTTTAGCTGCATGTTTGAATGGAGTTGTGTTAAAGTTGTAGTTTAGTTGGTAGAATAACTCAGTTTGAAAAAACAAACAAACAAGAAATGACCCAATTGGTACCATTCCTATGTGTGTATATTAGCAGTACCTGTCCCACTGCTTAACTATTGGTTTGGTTCATAGCTAGAGGAGATTCCATGTGCACTTCCCATGGTGCATAGAGTAACTGGTACCTTGAGGTTCAGCATGGAGCCATGTATTGTAACTGTGTAAGCTATTTTATATGTAAAGTGGACATAGCTGTAATGGAATCATTCAAACATGCACTGGACCTGAGTCTGAAAGAGTTGTGTACATCACGAAACTATGCTTAAGTTCCACATCTCTATTGAGTTGTGTTTGTTCCTCATTGCACACAGTTCTTTCAGGTATGTTCTTGTGGCGATACTGCTGCCTGTTCATGTATTTCCCCTGTGTGTTCATTTATTGTGCCCCCTCCCCATTCAGGAGTGCTTCCACGAAGGGAATTCATTCACCTCCCGACTGGGGACTACCTCAATACCTCATTTTGAATGTTAAGTTAGAATGTTCACACCTCGTAACATATGTGTCAAAACTGCAAACTGCAAGGGAAGCAATTAATGAGTGCTTCCCTGGGTGGCCGCCATTCATACAGGCGAACGCCTTCGTGGATAGTTTCCCGCGAGGGCCACCCCAATGCCCCATTAGAACATTAACACCAATTAATCAGAATGTTTGCATTCGCAACATAGGTGTGAAACCGCAAGGGAAGTAATTAATGAGTGCTTCCCTGGGTGGCCGTTGCTCGTATAGATGAACGCCGGCCAGGGGGAGCATTCATACCCTGAAAGGAGGTGCTTCCCTTGTCTGAGTTTAACACCAAGACCTCGCGAAGGAGCCTAGTCAAGGGTCCCTGAGATTGGTGTGGGCACTTTTGGGGCACTGGTGAGTTTGACAGTCTCTCATTAGCCTGAGGGACAAATAGACTAGCTCCTTCAGGCTGGCTTTTCTGTGCCTGGGAGACAAGGGGACGGCCCCTTTTTCCCGCTCTTAGACTCCTAGTCATAGAGGCACTTGGGAACCCTTGGTGTGGGGAACCCTGGGGATTTAGTGACGGGCTTTGGGGACAAAGGGAACGCAGTCCCTTACCATGCTGGGACCCCAGGGAGGGGGAGTATCTTGAAGTGGGACCTTGTATATGTGTGTGGTCAACCCCTTGCACGGGGTTATGCATAAAAGTAGTGCGTGGCCAATAAAATTGTGTTGTACATCCAGGACCGTGTGTCGTCTGGTTACTGGGGGGGAGATGGGTCTCTTTGCACTGTAATGGCTCCTGACTGGCTGAAGGAATAGAATTAGCAGAGGTAAACGGTCGGGTTACCCATCATCTGCTACAGTTCTCTCACATATTGAGGCATATCTGTAGGAATTCCTCTTAGCTGTGGTTTAGCAATGTACATATAAAATGTGCAACACATGCATGAAACTTCATGTGCAACAATGAAGGATGCGCAGAAAATCCAGAACATGTCCAACCACTCATTAACACATGTTCCAGGGGGCTCAATGGTAATGCGAGGCCTCCCTCCAGCAATAATGAAACTAATAAAAAGGTAATGATGACTAGACTGACTCTGACAAAAGTAATCCAATAGAAATTTCCAGTCCTAATAACAAAACTGATTATATAGCCATTACTAAATGTTTCAACTCACAGGCAGGGCAACCTGTTGTAAGACTTCTGGCTCAGCTTTCAATTCGCCTTCCTTGTGCATCAACGAGATCTATGAACCCTTCCTTCAATGCCATGAGCCAGTACCAAAAGCATGCCTCTATTCATGGGCAATAAGTTCCGACACTCACATGGCAAATGAATTGGTGGCTTACATATTCCTTCTTAAAGCAATCTAGGTATTTGCAAAATCTGCTGAAACAAAGTATATTTCACAAATGTCCTCTTTCTTTAACATGCTGCTCACTGTTTCTTCAGATATACACTAAGCATGTGAGAGAAGAGACAGCAAACGTGTAACTGTCACATATACATACAGCATACTTTATTCTTATTGCAAATGTGTAAGTGTACCTTTTTTTTAAATAGTATGTCAGTAGTAAATTGGTATTATTAAATTGTTTACTTTTGTTTTGTTTTTTGCGACAAAGCTGGTGGGCACTGTCCTAAGTGTTCCTTTAGACATGCCTGTACTGCAGGAAAGTATACTAGCATCTAGTAAGGCCAATCCTCAGGGAAAAGGCAAGTGAAACAATACATATATTTAGAAGACACTGCACCATAAAAATAAATATATACAAGTAATGGCAGATTTAATCTAAACTACTTAGTATGTTGATTAATTACTATTAAATGCAGAAAGGGCGTATGGCAAGGGTACAGAAGGTAGAGTGGGGGATATAAGTTATAAATTCTTCAGGTCTTCATATAAATTTACAATGCACAAGACAGATCAACAATACTCTATAACAATGTGTGGTGTAAAGATGTGTATATTTCCCAGCCCCACAGTGTGCATGAGTAACACCAAGCCCAATAATAGTATGCAGATTAACAGTCAGCAATATTCTGAGTAATGTGGAATGTGTATAAGTGTATTGCACTGTACCACAGCCATGGCAAGTGTGTACATGATTGTGTAGGAGTGAATTCCAGAGCCCGATACAACAATAATACGTGATCATGTTTGAGGGTAATACAGCAATAAAACACACATTAAGAGGTCATGCTGATTAATTCTTTATAGCTCACTACAGAATATGCAATATGTGCATTTTAGTGGTATACAGATTTATAAACAATATACAGGCATTTCTCACTTTATGAACTCCCGCTTTATATACTCCTGCCTTTATGAATTTGTTTCCTGGATGTGCTGCCATTTTGTTTCACTGTCATTATGTGTCAGTGGTCCACGGATCTGGACAAAGGAGCGTGCTTTGGAGAACAAACAAGAAGAGCAGAAGAAAAAATTGTGGCCAAGAGTAGACAAGAAGAGAGATGAGGATCAGGAACACAGTTCCTGAAGATAAAGGGAAGTCTAAAAAACGGGTTTAGACTGTACTGTAGTCTTTCTGCACTTTCATAGACATACCTGTAATATTATTGCACTGTGTACTATTAAGTAGAGATTTGACTTGATTTGTCTGCGTGTGTCTGACATTGCTGTGTGTGTGTGTTTGCTTGCCATCAGTGAGAAGCAGGGCCGAAAAACCTAAAAAAAAGGGGAGAAGCAAGAGAGATTGAGAGCTGTAAAAATAAAAGGAGTAACAGAAAAGTGGTAAAAAAGATGCAAGCTTGAAAGTAAGAGTGGAGAAGGAGGAGTGTTTGAGAGCGGTGTAAAAAATAAAAGAAGGAAAATAAAAGTGATAAAGTAGAGGGGGAAGCTGATAATGAAGAAAGTGAATAAGTAGGAGGGCTTAAGAGAGGTGTAAAAAGATGGACTGTGCGGTGCCCCTATTCAACGAGTGCAGCATGTCTCTTCATTGAGGACGATGATGATTGAGGATGATATGATGAAAATTTCACTATGGTATGTATTTCTTTAACCTTCCTACAACACATGTATATATATATATTCTTTTCTATCTACTATGCTCCATCCAAATAAATTAAAGTACCCTTTGGGTTTGGTTGTGGATCGTTCTCGAGTACATTGAACAAAATGTAAAATTTTGTGTCTTACGGCAACTTAGCAATGTTATTTTATAAAAATCATTTTTATTTGGATTTGTATAAAATTGAGGCTGATTGTCAGCAATAGGTAAGTACAACAGTCACTTTGTAACGTGAGTACACTGGATGAACAACATTTTTACATTTGTGGGAAGTTTAGGAACAAACCCAATGTTGAGGTATGGTACTTTCCATTAACGACTAAAAGATAATATAAACATGAACATAAGATGCAGCCTAGCAAAATAACAACAAAAATATCAATATTTAATCTAGATTTCTGAGAAATTCTTTAAATATTTATACTTGTTTACTATTATGTTTGTCTTATGAAGAAGCTAATTGTAATCACCATAGAAAACAAGCTAATAGCTGATGAATCCTGACTGAAGTCTATGGCAGCTGGGGTCAATGATACGTCAGATCCTTAAATGAATTGCCATTGACAAATAAATCATGCTGGTGAGAACAAACATCATTATTGAAGGCAATGCTTGCTAAGGATGATGGGAGCTCCACCCAAACTTATTTGAGCAGGGCCATCATCAACAAATGTTTGCCTCGATGTTACCATTTTGTTTCCATAATATGTTTTGGTAATTCTTGCCAATTATAAATGAAAATAATTGCAGTAAAATCAAAGCAACTGTAGGGTCAGAGCATGTCTGCCATTGGTTTTAGGGAATAAGGTAAACGGTAGTTGTGTAATATTATTTATGAGTTATACAGAAAGTAAAACTGTCCTTTTCAATGTGAAAGGATTTTGTAAATTCATGGATAGGATTGTTAAATACTGTATTTTAGGTTTTAAATAGGTGAAATTGTTGAGAAATGACAGCTATGAGTTAAGAAGTCTGTCTGTACACAAGGCCAGGTATCAATGGGAAACAGGGAAATTCCAAATTAAAATATATTTATTTCTAATTATTAAAAAAAGTAATGACTATGTTTTTATGATGGAAATCATTACGCAAACTATATTAAACGGTAACATGCATTGATAAAAATCTTCAAATGCAACCCTGTTCCTTTATTTTAGAAATCAAACAGGCTTTAATGTGACAGAAGTAGGTGATTCATTGTTCATCTGCCTAACTAATTCACAACATGAATTTTATTGTCATCACAGCAGCGTAAAATTTTCTTTTCAACTTTTAGCTCTTTAATCCTACTTTGTTTTAAGTCTCAAGCAATAAATTGAACTTGAAAGTAACTTCTAATTGGCTTATTGTTAGTGGGCTGACTGTTAAGCTGCAGAACATCACAGAGAAGAACAAAATGTATATGGTCCACAGACCAACAATGCCATTGATCCAGTCTTGTACTGATGTTTCATTTTATTTGTCATTATAAAGGGCACATTTGTAGGATCAAAAGGACACTTAGTTATTTGTTGTCTGTGGCTCCTTCCGTTGTGTTTTGTTCTCATGCTTCATGTCACAAATGATGAGTGACATCATTCTACTAGATTTACGTTAGTAACAAGGCCTAAGTGCATTGTGACAATAAACACAAGTTGAGTGTTTTAAAAGATTTTTTTTCTATTTTAAATTTAACAGTGTCATCACTAAACAAGTGCTTGTTACTAAATTGCAAATACTGATCGTATATATACTTTGGAAGGGATGATCAGATCAGGTATAAATATGTGTAGGCATATCATGTAGTAACTTACCTCCATAAAACTAGATGTCGCGTTGAACATACAAGTTCGGATATGTTCACCACGGTACTCGAATGGTATCATGACAAACCCAATTGCTTCCGGCACTGCTAGGACAAAGGAAAGCACCCAAATAGAGATTATCTCGATGGCTGTGATAAGAGGGATTCCATTACCTTGGACACGGCTCCAAGATGCCACTGCTCTGTACCTAGAAATTAGAGATATCATTGTAAGCAGGATAGAATAGACAAATCAAGATGCCAGAGCTTTTAATTTAATTCCCCCTTCCCTTTTACCCGTCTGATGCTGACTTTATAGTATACTCTTATTTGAGGAAAACGTTAAGCACTACAATCTCTGTAGTGATAATGGAACAAGGACTCTTATAGTACGAACACCAAATAGTTTCCAGGCATCCAAAGCCTGGCTTCTTTGCTGTTCAGATAAAGTGAAGCTTCCCTTCTGCATTTTCTGTGCAAAACAATCAGCCATGATCAGGAAGGAGCCAACAGGGCGCAGTTTCTTTTGACACCGTCTGTATATGTGGCCAAACTTACCCTTTCCCTTTCCACATCTGTTTCATGTGGCCACCATTTTACCACTAAAAACTAGCTGATGATCGTAGGGAAGGAAATCCACAAAGATGTAGGGAAATGTCATTAATGATGATTACAATTGTAATATAAAATAGCAAGCTCCCGAAGATTTTTGTGCTTCATACTTCCTACAATGCTCATGCAACCTAAGGTCATGAATGGCTGGGTAGATGGTACGATTAGGGTCATGGATGGCTGGGTAGATGGTACGATTAAGGTCATGAATGGCTGGGTAAATGGATAGATTGAACTCATGGGTGACTGGGTAAATGAACAGATTAGGGTCATGGATGGCTGGGTAGATTAGGGTCATTCTAGGGTCATGGATAGCTGAGAAGATGGACAGATTGGGGTTATGGATGGCTGGGTGAATGGATAGATTGGGGTCATGGATGGCTGGGTAGATGGTACGATTAGGGTCATGGATGGCTGGGTAGATGGTACGATTGAACTCATGGGTGACTGGGTAAATGAACAGATTAGGGTTATGGATGGCTGGGTAGATTATGGTAATTCTAGGGTCATGGATGGCTGGGAAGATGGATAGATTGGGGTTATGGATGGCTGGGTGAATGGATAGATTGGGGTTATGGATGGCTGGGTGAATGGATAGATTGGGGTTATGGATGGCTGGGTAAATGGATAGATTGGGGTTATGGATGGCTGGGTGAATGGATAGATGGGGGTTATGGATGGCTGGGTAAATAGACATATTAGGGTCATGGATGGCTGTATGAATGGACAGATTGAGTCATGGATGGGTCAGTGAATCGATGGATTAGGGCCATGGATGGCGGGATAAATGTGACAGATTGGAATGGTAGCTGGCTGGGTGAGTGGGACCGAGTGGAGTAGTAGTAGATGGCTGGGTGAATGGAACTAATAGGGCATCGGTGAAAGTAACTGGTTGAGGGGTTGCTAGTGCCATTATGATAATGATGGTTTGGTGGTGGTAGCTGACTGTGTGAATTGAATTGGGTGAGTAAGTCTGAGTGTGTGCAGCAATCCACAATACATTAGCCTGTTTTGTGAAAGCAGTTGGTTGTGAAACTTGGAGAAATAGCTTGATGGAGTTTCCTGCTAGCTGGATGCTACTGTAACATTGTTTCCACAAAACTAAGGTTGCAGGGCATACTGCTGCAGATAGAGGGAGGAGAAAGGAAGAAAAGGCAAGATGGCAGTCACACCTGGTTAATAATAAGCAGGCAGCTTAAATGAAGGACAAGTTGAGATGTCACATAGAGATCAAATACATTAATTTCTGTATGCTGTAGCCACCTTCTATGAAAGATGCCCTGGTACTGTGCTCCCCCTGCCCTTAATCTTGCTCACCCTGGCTTTTAATGACAATGACAGGCTATAAGCAATGCATGCAGTGCTACGTCTGCATTATCTGAGTGCAAGCAGAAAGGTGAGCAATGTTCATTGATCAATGGTCAGCACCTAAGATTCGATGTGTTAGAAATACTACAATAAGCTGCAGTGGTTATGGTGCTTATGGTGTCTCTTTAAGAATTTTTTTTTTTTAAAGATCAGTGTAATCTCCATAAGCCCTTCATTCCTGCATATATTTTTTAAATTCAAAATTATCATTCTAGAGATAAGATACCCATATTTAGGTGAATAGGGCTGCCTCAGTGGTCTGCAATTTAGCTAGCCAGATTGATATCTTCCTGCTTTTGCATCTGCTGTCAGCACACATAGCATGCTAACCCTGGATGCCTTAACCAGACTGCCCGCAGATGGGTGCAATATACATAAGAGGCTGAATTTATCTTAGCAGAGAAAGGATTTACTCTACTTACTAAATAGCAATTTGACGTCTACAAATAGCTATTTAGTAAACCCTTACTCAGCTAAATGAATCTAGGGCACAGTGTCCTGCTGTTTGATTCTTAATTTTACTCTGTTCCTTCCTATTAAAGAAAAAACATGAATTGGTTCTGTTTTCTTTAATTCTTTCCTCTCTAGGAGCAGAGCTCAGAGAAAGAAAATAACAAAGACCACTCTATTAAGTGCCTTCAAGAAGATGTTTGCACCTACTCAACTATAATTCCTGTCATGTTCAGTGAGATTCTGTTTGAGGCATGGGTGTTAAAATATACATCTTTTGTAACGGGAGAGTGAGACAACCCCTTGCTAAATAACTCTAATAAATCCAATCATCCTCATTTGTGGTTGGCTGAGCCTGATAAGAATTTTAATTGACTGCAGCTTGAATAAGTCAAATTTTAATAGACACCTAATTTTTTTTTTTTAAATGACACCTGAACTAATAGAGCAATAAAGTACAACTTTTTTTTTTTTTTTATAAGAATCCCTAACTTATTAAAACTGTCTAGCTCTATGAGAGAATTTAAACTGGAGAATTCTCCTAAGTGCTTGTCAGAATTATTTGATTGGATACTGGGCAAAAACAAATAAAAAAACATTGTGCAAATTTGACTAAATGCATATATATCTTTTGCAAATAGAAATTATATGCAATCAAACATATATGCATATTTGGGTATACAATTTCCCTTTAGATATCTGCTTGCTTATAGATGACCATTAAGAGTATATTCAAAGTGTCGGTTTTAGGTGCCATAATTACTACAGTTTTCTGTTGTGGTTATGGTGCCAAAAATCCTCTAATAAGTGGTCGAACTGTTTTAGAATGGTTACATACTTACCTGGGTTCCTTTGGTGCCTCAAATCCGCCTCTGAGATGGTTAATGTGGGAGTCCCTACTTCTGCACTAGTGATGTCAATTTCATCTGTGTAAGGAAGGAACTGATTGGCTGAGGCTGAGAGTGTCATCTAAGTTCCTCACCTGATTAATTTCACCCAAGTAATGATGGAATTGATTTATCTGTTGTAAAATAGGAATTGTTGATCTATCAGAGCAGGTGGCAGGGCTGAGGACCAATGTAAGTGTAAATCTGTTTGAAATCAGTTTTACTACTTACTGTAGTACATTGTCAGGGTAGTCCTGGCAGCATAACCACTGCAGTAGCCAAGGTGCCTAGACTGTCCCTTTAGGTTTTAGCATCTTTCTTTGGAAGCTGTTTTTAGAACTGTTTTGTTTTGATTATGGGACGTTTGAATAGTTATTATCATGTGAGATTCAGGAGCAGGGAAGTTAGACACATATATGGAGATTTGAATAAAGCTTTTCTGATCTGTAAACAAGGTAATATGAAGTTTCAAAATGGACAGAGTAGATGAGTCAACTGGTTTCTGTTGTTGCAATATTTATCTACACAATGACACATATTTATTAAAATACAGTTTAAACAAGCATCTGTTCTTTTTAAAGAGTCACTTTAAGCATCATAACAACGTATTATTGCAGAGTTTATGGAACAGAGAGCGCCCTGCATTCACTCTAAACTCTGAGTGTGGCTTATTACTGCATGATTTGTGAAAAACAGAGCTGTCAATTAGGCAAGCAGGGTTTTAACTTCTGGGACACACCACAGACACATCTCGGAATGTCATCCTTCTTCTCAGACACTTGAACTTGTTCCTTTTGCATTTCTTGTCTGGCTCATAATAACTTTGAAAGTTTCTGCACCAACTTAGAACAATGCCCTTATATTCTAATTTCCATTTCCAGAACTTTACTCACTTTTCCATTGTCTAGTGCAGTGGTTCCCAACCCAGTCCTCAAGTAAAAAAATACTTTAGACACAACAGGGTAATCCTTAAATACTGGATCGGTAGGGGGTACTTGAAGACTGGTTTGGAAACCCCTGGTCTAGTGCAACAAGTAAGCAGGAAGACCTGCTTTCTCATTCAGTAATCTGTAATTGTGCTATTATAACCTTTTAAAAAAAACAGCTAATCTTAATCCAGTTTCTGAATGTGACAACTACATATTTGGTTTGTAAATGTTTATATGTCTAACCTTTAACCCCTTAAGGACCAAACTTCTGGAATAAAAGGGAATCATGACGTCACACATGTCATGTGTCCTTAAGGGGTTAAACTGTACATGACATGGCTTAAAAAATTGTTACATAGCTGAAAAGAGACATGCGTCCATCAAGTTTAGCCTTTCTCACATCTGCTTTTGCTGTGGATCCAAAAGAAGGCAAAAAAAAGTTTGAATCACTTCCAATTTTGCCACAAACTAGGACAGAATTCCATGTGAAGCCCAGAATGGCAGTTTCAAGATTATTCATAAATTTGTTAAATAGAAGTGGTCCCTGAACAGAACCCTGATGGACACTGTTTACCACTTTTGCCTGGCTTGAAAATGTATCATTAATGACAACTCTCTGTACTCTATCTTCAAAAAGAGAACCCTCAGTGTATTTTTCCTGTTAAAACACATTCTAAATACAATTAAAATAAAACCCTGACTTTGACAATATATTTAGATGTCAGGATGAGCGATTGTTGAGGGATGACATTTATTGGATGAAATACAGATGTGTCAGATGTAAACATTTTCAGTTATCCATTGTATAACTTTAAATGGACACACTACTGATCAAATGTAAAAAAATAAATAACAAATTACTATTTAGTTAAAGGATCACTATAGGATCAGGAACATAAACATGTATTCCTGACCCTATAGTATTAACACCACCATCTAGCCCCCCTGGGCCCCTCATGCCTCCATAAATATAGTAAAAATCTTACTGTATTCAAGCTTGAAGCTGTAACTCTGCATGCTGTTAGACTCATAAAAACAAGCAGTCTGCTGACATGTGGTAGCCTGATCCAATCACAGTGCTTCCCCATAGGACTGGCTGAGACTGACAAAGTGGCAGATCAGGGGCAGAGCCAGCAAGATTCAAACACAGCCCTGGCCAATCAGCATCTCCTCGTAAAGATGAATTGAATCAATGAATCTCTATGAGGAACGTTCAGTGTCTGCATGCAGAGGGAGAAGATACTGAATCACATGATGCTGTGCACAGTGCCGCCCTGTGCTCTGCTGACAGCAGATCTGAGTGGATGGAGGCATATTATTAAAGTTTCTGCCTCCATCAACTCCGAAGTCCCTCTGGTTCACTCTGAGTGACTGCAACTGGAGGTGTTCCTAGCTTTCAATGTAAACACTGTATTTTTAGAAAATAGTGTTTACATGAGAGGCTGCAGGGAGCTATAGTTCTCACCTGAGCAACCTCATTAAGCTGAAGTTGTTCAGGTGACTATAGTGTCCCTTTAATGAAAACATGCATTTAATTATACTTTTTTTCCATTGGGGGTATATCTAAAAACAGCTTGCAAACATTGTAGATCTCTTGACTGCAGCCTTTGCAAATCCTTCCTTTTCAACTCAGGCTTTCTAGAGCTGTCCAATCACAGACTTCCCATGCAGCTCAATGAGAAGTCTTTGCAAGGCAGGTGCTCTGTGCAATTACTAAATAAGCTAAACAGACAGGAAGTAACAGGATTGGTTGTCTGATTGACAGCCTAGGGGTTGTAACAAGGTTAGATTATTAAAGTGCCACATTCTATTGAAATCTGCACTTTTTGTAAAATGAGGACACACTCCTCACAAATAAAGCACTTCAGCGGGCTAGGTGCCTTAGGTGTATAGGAGCATTACCTTTAACATAAAATTAATCACATGTAAATATGGGAAAACTGGCATTCATTTAATGTCAATGATGTTTGTATCACTCTTCAAAACTCAATAAATATGGCTGAAACAAATAGCTATTGAGCTATATGACCCTTATGCGTGCTGCATTGTGAGTTGGAGGTATAGTAACACCATTGGGATGGGTAATGGCAAGGAAATGCAACAAGCAAAGCCTATTAGTTCAATTGTACAGAAGCAAAGCTACAGGGATTAGTTAGGTACACGAAAGATGACTGGGAATTAGTTGGCAACATTTGACATTGGAATAGTAATAAAACGTGAGGAGATACAAGGGGGATATGGGAATAAATATCATGTACGTGATACTAGAACTATAAACCATTTACAAATGTAAGGTAGCTGAGTGCAGAGTATAAAGTGAAAAGAATCAAGGGTCAAGAACTTGTCCTTGTGAGATGCTAACATAGAGAGAGGTAGTGTGTGTGTGTGCGTGTGTATGTATGTATGGAGGAATAAAAGAAAATGATCAGAGTATGTGATACAGCTATATTTATACTAGAATTACCCTTTTGGATTGTGTTGATGTAGATTTAATAATATTTGTACTGCTACGTTGTATATTTAAACATATATAAAATACGGTCTCAGCTGAGTAGTGGTGAATAAATAGCAGAAAATCTTAACCCACATATTGCAGGTTACTCTCATAACAGTCCAATAACCCACTCAGTGACGGCAATTGCATGGCTTGATGTCCCAATGAGAGAGCATGAAGTGTTATTTATACAGTGTGCTAGAAGATTATTAGAAAATGTTTTATATATAAAAAGTTATTTCTCCAGCACAGCGTGCAGATTATATATATTCCTACCATAATATGAACTTGTCATCCACACAAATTATAAATGACAAACCCACTTTAAGTGCGGATATAATGAGTGAGATGGGACTTTTCTACAATGCCATTTCTTTTTTAACTCCAAGAGGTTATGTTCTGTTAGACACGAGCTGGAATACAGTTTGTGATACAAAGCACGGATCACTTCCAGTCTTTCTGTGGACGTGAGTCATCTTCTTACTATGATTATCTGCGTTTACGAGCTCGGGGGAGCTGAGCAGTCTCTGAAGAGCCAGACAATGTTGAAATCTGGAGACCTGCACTGTGTCATCTAAAATGGTTTTGTCCTTGCTCTCTTAGCTTTCCTAATAGCAAATGTGCTATAGCCTATTATATTAATAGAAAATCACATCAGCCCAGAAATATGCAGTATATGTATACCTCTCACTTATGTCAAAGAAAGAGTACGTCAGTTTATGCATTAACCAATGATATGCCACAAGGGCAGCACTAACTACAATATTAATAAGTTACACCTATTTAAAAAGTTGGTATCAAGCCCATATCGTGGTGAGGTATTAATAAAATATATATGTCTGGAACACCCAAAAGGCAAGAGCCAAGAAGTGCACAAGATATTAAAACAGGGGTCTAATGGGAAATTTGGGGAATTTTGAATTTGTGGTTCCCTTTTGGTATTCAGGGATTTGAAAGGTAAGACTGGAGCCTTAATAATGCAGCTGAACCTAACAAGCACAATTTCACAAAATATTGCATGTTATGCCCATTTGTAAGTTTTAATACATTCTTTTATCTTGGCACCCTCCTATCCAGGCATTATAAAACGATATATTATTGTTAATTTATTTGCTTTACAGCTGTTATATAGTGCTCTTATCCAGACAGGCACATCATGCAGAGAGAACATTTTATAGATTTTTTAGATATGCTATGTTACAAAGCTGTAGAAATGGTTCCAAAAGGATCTATCATTTTTGCTGTTTATTCAGTACATATTTTTATACTGACGACATCGTTGTGATGGTTTCAGTTCTAATGACTTCTAATAACTAACTAAACATACTCTGGAACACATCATCATACTTATTGTCAATATTAAGGTGAAAATATAGCGCAGGACAGACAGAATGCAAAGCACTTGGGGATTTTAATATTTGAATGAGTTAGGGAGGAGCTGCATGAGACTGAATGTACTGGAAAGGTCCTTAGTTTTTTTTTAATATTAATGAGACCATGGGAAGCCTGTGTTCCTGGGCACTTTAGAAGTCTCCAAAGATCCTATTTATATGCACCCTTCCATGGCCCATCACCAGGGCCTCCATCACAGTAAGCTGATAAGGGACTAAGTGAACCACTGGAGCAATCATTGAACAGACAGCATAGTGGAACTTAAAGGACCATTCCCCACTTATAAAGCTATTCAGTTTGTGCGAATTGCATATTATAAAAACAAAACAAAACTATTATATGAAAAATAGGGACATTTGTAGAACAATTGACACCTCCCTGGCTGTGAATCATATAGCCAGGGAGGTTCACTTCCTTCTTCCTTTAGCTCCGCTAGAGCGCACCTGCCACTGGTTCTGACTGCTCATTTTTCCACAGGTCCTTGACTCCTGCTGCTCTTTTAGCTCTGGCCTCCTCTTCTGGCTCTGATTGGCCATTCCCTGGCAAGGACTGTGCTTGGAAAAAAGGGGAAGGCTTGAAAAGGCTGCAGCCAGAAGTATTGGAACTTTTGCAAGCTCTTTTTAGATATACTACCAGTGCCATGGATAACTAAATGCATGCCTGTTTTCATTGGGGATATTTCTATTAAATTGTTATTTAAAAAAAAAAATGATATTTCATATGGACTGTCTCTTCAAGCAGACGGTCCCCTTAACAGACGGCACTGACTGCCCCATCCTCTCTCTTGTGCTGCAGCCCTGGGAGGTAGTGATGTCAGATTTCTTTCAGTGCTCTTGGAAGCCATGAGGGACATTAGAAGACGAGTTGTAGATCTGCCCGGTCTTTACTAGACCTCATGGAAGCAACACACCATTTGCAAAACAGTAACTTAAAAGGAGAGTGGCTTACTAAAATATAAATGTGAATGTATTTAGCGGGTGTTTGTACTGTATATCTCTAGCATTGTGTATGTGTGTAGTTGGGTGTGTGTGCATATAGAAATGTAAGCGTTCCTGAGTGTTTGTAGCAGTGTATGTGGGTGGATCAATATTGGATATGTAGTAATGAATGTGAATATAGCAGGGTGTGGATTTAGAAATGTGTGTGTTGCAGAGTGTGTATCAGAGCATGTGTATTTGTGTATTAGGGTGTGTGTGTGTAACAATGTGTATGTGTTTATTCGTATGATTTTGAGTGTATGTTTAGCAGAATGTGTGTTTAGTATTGAGTGTGTTTCTGGCAGTGTGTATCGGAGTGAGTTTGTCAGTGTGTACCTGCATCTGTTGTGTATCAGTGCTTGTGAGTGTATTTATTTGTTTGTGTGTATTCTGTGAGAATATTGGAATGCACGTGTTATGGTTGATTATATATTTCCTACCTGTTCTATGTTAAATCTTGTATTTATTGTGTATTAATATTGTTTTTGTATTTTATTGCATCCTATTGTATCAATGCAATGTTTTGGTGGACCCAGGACATACTTGAAAATGAGAGCAATCTCAATGTATCTTTCCTTGTAAAATATTTTATAAGTAAAAAAATAAATATGTGTTTGTGAGTGTGCATAGCTCCCTGGGGTCGTGTGTTGGAGTATCTCTGCCTAGAAGCCTATGTGTGTCTGTGGTGTATATAGGGGGCCCAGTTAGTAGGTTTGTAAGGGCCATCAAGAACTTTGATGGCTGGTTATGCCCATCACAGCCACCCTTATCCACCTTCTGCGTCAGCACTTCCTCCCCATACTTATTATTTAGTATATATGTGTTCTCTTCCACTAATCATTTCTCCTTTCATCTTAGCATAAATGTCTCTTCCACCCTCTATTTATCCTATTATTTGCCTTCTCCCTATCCATCATATATCAACTCTTGTTACATGTTTGAATCTTGCCACTTACTGTTTTCTCCAATATAAAAACATATGCTGAAAGTTATGCTCAGATGTTACCTGCAGGATGCAATAATAAATATCATGAATCTTTTTATGATTTCCAACCACAACTCATTTTCTTTGCTACACTTGGTCTCTGGCAACTAGTAAATACATCTGAAAAAGTACACCTACATGAATGTTAGTGTTTCATCTTTTATGGGTGACAGGACCACTATAATTTATAGATCATAATCCTTTTAGTGTATGCTGCTTTTAACTTAATAAGGCCATGGAATGAAGGGGATAAAAGGCTGGTAAAAAGAAAATGTGATGATGAAATGTGTGTTTTCTCCCATCCCTAGTCCCTGTTTCTCCTTAGTGAACTATACGAGTAAGCCACTCAACGTAATGTGTTCCACCTTCTTCTGGTTGTTTTCTGATGTTAAAATCAACATATAATCTACTTCCTCCATGTTTTTGTGTTTTTCACATCTGAGCTTTATGTCTGCAGTTATATCAGTAATACAGATTTTCCAACCACATGTCATTTTTGTTTCATTTGAAGCAGTAAACGCTGACAGATTTGTTGCTTTTCTACATAAGCCTCGTTTGATTATGTAAGATTTCTTATCTGAGTTGTTGATGAAGTTAAAAGAAAATCTTAAAAGAAATGTATAGCTGCATAGTTGGAAATATAAAGCTGTATTTCTTTATTATTCATAAATGTATGTGTAAAATGTTCAGCACCTTGAAAGGGCTTTAAAGCATACTTCAAGCACCATAACAACCTTGCTTTTTGCAAAGGTATGAGCAATAAGCCTTCCTGTCTCCCATCATTATTCTAATGTTGCTATGGCGATGTGAAAAGTGCATTATTTTACTGTGATGTGAATGCCATGCAAATCCTTAGCAATTTGCATGAGCTTTCTCATAGCTTTCTGTGAAAAAGCCTCCTACCAGTAGTGGAATTGACTGAACATAACTGATTGCAATTATCTTTATTCATGAAGACATGGCCGAAGCTACTCAACAATCTAATCTGAGCTATTCACTCGAACTTGGCTCATTAATACTAAAAAAGAGAAAGTAAGAGTCTTTTTTAAAAGCTTATTTTCCACTTTTTTAAAAGAAGCATTCTAAGCACCAAATATCTTCTTCTTAAAGTAGTGATTTGGGGAAACAGTTGCCGCTCTTTCAGCATTGCTGTTATAAATTGTGCCTTTTTAACAATATTAATTTCTGAGAAATAGCACTTTTAACAATTTGCAAATTCCATGTCTCCTGGTGGATGTCAAACACCAGTGGCTTTACACTGAAATAGATTCAAAAATTTTATCTTTTTGACATCTTGCATCAGCATGCAATGCAGGTTGACATCAGACACTGTATGTGCCCAATGCTTCTATATGAACAGCAAAGCTTTTCATAGAGATGTACTGGGTTGGTTGATTGATGTGACTGCCACACCTGTAAAGTGTATCTTTAATGCTTCCCTGCTAGAAACAAAAAAAAAGTTCAGTATTGATTTTTATTTTGTTTAAAAGGGAGACAGTAAAGTAAAGTCATAAAGGAACACAGCTAATAAAAAGAAATATACATATACATATATATACTTTGTTTAACTAGTGTTCCTTTGATCCTTTGGATGCCGATGCCTTAAAAAGGGTCAACTCCTTGTATGTTGGATCACTGCAGTACATTTCGTGGAATTGCTCCAAGAACATCACCAAAAGTGCTCTGTGACGCATTTTCAAATCAGATTAAGTAGTGCAGTTAAGTTAATAATCCATAGATTTTTGCACAAACCTATTACCACTCCACTTCAGGGCTTAGTTCAAGTAGTCATTGAGGGAAGTTGAAAGCTTTCAATCTCATGCCCTAGGGCAGGTGCAGGTAATCTCTGGCACCCCAGATGTTGTGGTAACCTTTGGCACTCCAGATGTTTTAGACTACATTTACCATAATGCTCTTACAACAATTTGGCTGGCAAAGCATCAGGGGAAATGAGGTCCACAACATCTGGAGTGGTAAAGGTTACTTTCCTCTGCCCTAGAGACACATGTAAAATATATCCAAACATGGTTTTACTGGTTGAGATTCTTACAATGCCCATCTTCAGCATACTCTTATCTGCTAGACCCTGAAGAGCAGTAGATTTGAGCTAGCATTTTGCTGACTAGGTTTCACTTCCACCCCCACACTTTTTCACAACCCTTATTTATTTATATTGGGATATATAATAATATCTCATTTGTAAAGCTTTAAATAAAATTACAATTACACTATATTCAGTTGTATGACCTTAACTTTATTAGTCAGCTGGAGGCTACTATGAGATGGTGTGTGAAAGGGATTGCTGAAAAATGGATTCACCAAAGTTTCTACAAAACTACTCAGTCTATCATAGAATGAAATCTCTAAATAAAGCCTTTAAGGAATAGCTAACACCTTTTACCATCTCAAAAATTATTAAATTAAAAAATAAAATAGGAAGTAAAAATGATTAGGAAATAGCAGTTAATCCTATTTCAATGCCAATATGCATGCCTCCTGCCAAATCATCTCTGTTCGTGTTTATGTGCTCTTGAAAATCATGTTAGAAGTTGTTGTCTGAGTGTTAACAGATGGTCGGATGTGTTCTGGTTAAAACATGTTCTATCATTACTCTGTCTCCTATCCTAAAGTAATAATGAAAAACACACTGCAGCATTTTGTTGATAACTTGCTACATCTGGAAGAGCCGTGACAGGAATATGAAGGAATCAGATAACTGGGTAAAGAAGCATTACTAGTGTAGTAGATTTTATAATCAATAACATCAGAGCAGAAATGTACATTTCAAGTGGAGCATCACCAGTAGATGCCCAGTAGTGATGTCCCGAACGGTTCGGGAGGGTTGTGCATAGTAATTGCCTGATTAACCATCGCTGAATATACATGTGGGAAACCTGGCAATTTAAGCTATATATCAAATGATCTTTATGCCATCCTTGCTGGTGGCTGGCGAGAACCATAAGAGATCTTGGTCAACAATACCTGGGCATTAGTGATGTCCCGAACGGTTCGCCGAACGGTTCGTGAATGGTTCGCCACGAACGGTTCGCCACGGACTCATCATTGAGTAAACTTTGACCCTGTACCTCACAGTCAGCAGACACATTCCAGCCAATCAGCAGCAGACCCTCCCTCCCAGACCCTCCCAGGTATTGTTGACCAAGATCTCTTATGGTTCTCGCCAGCCACCAGCAAGGATGGCATAAAGATCATTTGATATATAGCTTAAATTGCCAGGTTTCCCACATGTATATTCAGCGATGGTTAATCAGGCAATTACTATGCACAACCCTCCCGATCCTTTGTATAAGGATAATGGGGGGTATTGGTGAGATTCTGAAGAGAAATACTTGATAAAGTATATTTGGGGACACCAGGGAATTAAAGCAGAAAATTAAAATTGTTGGGACGCATGAGTGAATATGAGTATATTATCGATATCAAAAGACATCAAAAGTAATATGAGTGCATACAAGTGTATAATAGAGCTCTACATTAATATGCAGTACACATGAGCATTTTACAGAGCTTCACAGTAATATATACTATTAGATATAAGCCATGGATCTGGATGGATCTTGTGGTCTCCACCCCCGGGATACCAAGTCTACATTCTGGTGGAAGGAGCAATACATGTGATCTATCTGTCAAGGGTGCAGTCCAGGTGATTAACCCACTAGACTAGCAGGTGTTAGCCTTCCCCCCTTCCTGGCCCAAGGTAAGCAAGAGTGACATCACTTTTTAAAATATTCAAACATCACTTTTTAAAATATTTTTTTAATATAGCTCCCTTCCACGTTACAGATCCCAGCAGCCCTAATCACTCCCTAACACATATTAAAGTCCCTCTATCCCCCAACATACACAACTTTAACCATCACACATACACTACAGCCCTAACCCTAATATACACATCCACTACAGCCCCAATTTCATACTAACTACAGCCTCAATCCCCCAACACTACAGCCCCAATTCCTTCACACACAACAACCCCAGTTTACCCATACACACACACACTGATTCATGTAGACTTACATACACAGAGATCCAAGCAGACACACACACAGACCCAAACACACACACACATACACACATACAGTCCCAAGTAGACACACACACTGACCCAAGCACACACACTGATCCACACACACATTGATCCAGACACACAGGCACACGCTGACTCAAGCAGACACACACACACACTGATCTAGACACACAAACACAGACACACCAAAGCAGACACACACACTGACCCAACAGACACACGCACTGATCCAAGCACACACAAACATACTAACTGAAACAGGCTGACACACACACCATGAAGTCCCCCTCTTGCCTTCATTTCATATGGTCTCTATGTAGTTCCCATTCCAGGCCTGGCTGCTGTCAATCTCTCTCAGCTCCGCCCCCGCTATCCTCACACCACTTGACCCCGAGTACAGGACAAGAGGTGGGAGCGATTGTACGATGCACCTATGCGCTGCCGGCATATGAGGTGTGTAGGGGGTTCCGGCTCTATATGATCTTTGCGGGCTGAGGTTGATGGCACCAGGTGCTAGTCTGCAGCTATGTAAGTGCTCCCTAGTACTTGACCTGCGGCATGCAATACACAATTTGACCCACATAAAGGGGCGGCTCAAACAGCAGTTTCACTGATGCCAGCACCCTCGCTTAAGAAGTGCCCTAGGTGGCTGCCTAATCAGCCTATAGGATGTACCAACCCTGCACACACACGCAACTCTCCTAATTTCTGCACACACACTTACTACAGCCACAGTTCCCTCACCCACAATGACCCTAGTTTTGCATCACACAAATAAAGATAATACAGCTACAACTCCCCCTATACACACACTACAGCTCCAGTTTCCCCAAACATAGTTTATAGCCCCTATCTCTCTTAAACACACACAGTACCGCTGCTATCCACATACAGCCCTTATTCATATGAACACAGATATTATACCATAAACAGCCCCATCCAATCACACACAATCCCACAAGCAATGTCTTCAAAAAAAGCAACAACACAAATAGCCACCACACATGCACCTCCACAAGCAGAGTCTCCACAAACATGCAACTAAGCAAGCAGCTTTCCCACACACCTGCAACATCTCAGGCAGCCTCCAAAAAACATAGGCACCCCTCTCCTAGCACTGTCCCACTAATCATTCAACCATTCATCATCCAATCATTCCTCAAACTACTCACCTTTACACATCCAATCAAATACCCCAAAATCACATACCTCAAACCAGTCACATTCGCCAATCCAAGCACATACCTCAAACTAGTCTCATTAACCTATCCAATCATATGCATCAAAATATTTGCAAATATGTATGTATGTATGTATGTATGAAAGAACAGAGGATTGGGGTACATTCATTTAACTGGCTTTGGGGCAGGATATCGGGTAAATCCGGCCCTGGAGGTGGGATGAACTAAGGAGCAAAGTTGAAGAGGAGAGAGATCCCAGAGATAAGATGTAAAAGGAAAAGAAGAATAGTGAGAAAACAGGGGAACAAAATTTAGGTAGTTGAGCAGAAATTTAGAGGACAAAGGAGTAGGGATTTTATGTGAATTGGTGGTGTGTGGACAAACCTGGGGCATATGTGTGTAGAAGATTAGAGTACTATAATTGTGAAAGAAGGGGCAGAATAGCGTGGTAGCAGATGTAGAGGATGATGGAGAGACTAGATGACAGAAAAGAGACACAGAGGCTGTGAAGGACAAGGTCCATGGGGCAGAGGTTTTGACAGGAATAGGAGACCAAATAAAAGATATTAGGAGAAAAACTGGGTGACATAGAATGGAGTAAGCATGGGTACGTGCTTTGAGAGGCAATTGATAGTGTAGATTTAGTTGCTGTTACTGAGACATGGTATAATGAGAAAAATTACTGGGACATAGCAATATCAGGGTACTCTTTATATAGAAAAGATAGGGAAGGCAAGAAAGGGGGAGGGATGGCCCTATATGTGAAGGATAGCATAAAATCTAGCCTAATAAAAGTTAGTGAGGCGAACATAGAGTCTCTTTGGGTTACGTTAGAATTTGGTAATCACAAATTAAAGAGTTAGATAAGCTACTAGTTGAGGAAATAGCAAAAATGACAATGAAGGGGGAAGTTATCATCATGGGTGACTTTAATCTTCCTGATGTAAATTGGAAAACAAAATTAGCTACTTGTGCCAGGAGCACACATATTCTAAACTCCCTACTGGGATTGTCTCTAAATCAATTTGTTGAGGAGCCAACTCGTAAAGAGGCCATACTAGATTTAGTGTTAACAAATGGAGATTTGGTATCAGATATTACTGTAGGTGAAAGTTTAGGATCCAGTGATCATCAGTCAGTGTGGTTTAATATAAGAACAGTGACTGAGTCACACCACACAAAAACAAAAGTTTTAGACTTTAGAAAAACAGATTTTTCTAAAATTAGAATATGTGTAGAGGAGTCATTATCAGAATGGAGCAATTTAAATGGAGTCCAAGAGAAATGGGATTATTTAAAAGTTGCACTATTGAAGGCAACAAAAAATTGCATTAGGCTTGAAGACAAAATGATCTATAAGATTAGGCAGAAAGAGGCTAAGCAAGTTATAAGAGCTTCCAAATCACACACAGAAGAGACAATAGCACAGTCAGTAAAAAAGGGGGACAAAACTTTTTTTAGATACATAAATGAGAAAAGAAAAGTAAAACAAGGATTAGTTAGATTAAAAACAAAAGAAGGAAGGTATGTAGAAGAGGATAAAGGTCTAGCTGACTGCCTCAATGAATATTTTTGTTCTGTATTTACAGATGAAAATGAAGGAAAGGGACCTCAGTTAAGAAAAAGGATAAATTAGTCATTTATTACACGTGAGTTTACAGAGGAAGAGGTTCTATTTCAATTGTCAAAAGTGAAGACAAATAGGTCAATGGGACCTGATGGAATACACCCAAAGCTATTAAAAGAGTTTAGTGGTGTACTAGCAAAACCATTAATAGATTTATTTAACCAATCATTGTTAACAGGAGTAGTCCCAGAAGATTGGAAGTTAGCGAATGTTGTGCCCATTTACAAGAAAGGTAATAGGGAGGAGTCGGGCAACTATAGGCCCGTAAGCCTTACTTCAGTAGTGGGGAAAGTGATGGAAACCATGTTAAAGGATGGGATTGTTTAACATCTAAAAACACATGGATTTCAAGATCAGAGACAACATGAGTTTACTTCAGGGAGATCATGCCAAACTAATCGTATTGATTTTTTTTGATTGGGTAACTAAAATTATAGATCAGGGTGGTGCAGTAGACATTGCTTACCTAGATTTCAGTAAGGCTTTTGACACTGTTGCACATAGAAGGCTTATCAATAAACTGCAATCTTTAAGTTTGGATTCCAATATTGTTGAATGGGTAAGGCAGTGGCTGAGTGACAGGCAACAGAGGGTTGTAGTTAATGGAATATATTCGAAGCTTGGACTTGTCACCAGTGGGGTACCTCAGGGATCTGTACTTGGACCCATTCTCTTTAATATTTTTATTAGTGATATTGCAGAAGGTCTTGATGGTAAGGTATGTCTTTTTGCTGATGATACTAAGATATGTAACAGGGTTGATGTTCCAGGAGGGATAAGCCAAATGACAAATGATTTAGGTAAACTAGAAAAATGGTCAGAATTGTGGCAACTGACATTTAATGTGGATAAGTGCAAGATAATGCATCTTGGACGTAAAAACCCAAGGGCAGAGTACAGAATATTTGATAGAGTCCTAACCTCAACATCTGAGGAAAGGGATTTAGGGGTGATTATTTCTGATGACTTAAAGGTAGGCAGACAATGTAATAGAGCAGCAGGAAATGCTAGCAGAATGCTTGGTTGTATAGGGAGAGGTATTAGCAGTAGAAAGAGGGAAGTGCTCATGCCATTGTACAGAACACTGGTGAGACCTCACTTGGAGTATTGTACGCAGTACTGGAGACCGTATCTTCAGAAGGATATTGATACCTTGGAGAGGGTTCAGAGAAGGGATACTAAACTGGTTCATGGATTGCGGGATAAAACTTACCAGGAAAGTTTAAAGGATCTTAACATGTATAGCTTGGAGGAAAGACGAGACAGGGGGGATATGATAGAAACATTTAAATACATAAAGGGAATCAACACAGTAAAGGAGGAAACTATATTTAAAAGAAGAAAAACTACCACATAGTCTTAAATTTAAAGGGACAAAGGTTCAAAAATAATATCAGGAAGTATTACTTTACTGAGAGGGAAGTGGATGCATGGAATAGCCTTCCAGCTGAAGTAGTAGAGGTTAACACAGTAAAGGAGTTTAAGCATGCGTGGGATAGGCATAAGGCTATCCTAACTATAAGATAAGGCTAGGGACTAATGAAAGTATTTAGAAAATTGGGCAGACTAGATGGGCCGAATGGTTCTTATCTGCAGTCACATTCTATGATTCTATGATTCTATGAGAGGAGAGAACAACATAAAGGCATGGTCAAGGGAAAGGAGAAAGAGTAGAGATAAGACTTAGGTGGAAACATTAGGCTTTAGGCAATTAGATCTTCCTTTAACCCTGCCATTATGAACACTGAAAAACCACCTGGGTCTTTTGTATGCTGTAAAAGAGGTAGTCTCTGCTTCGCTGAGGTGTGCTCAATCTGGTTAAATAATTTATTCAGAAACAAGTGTTGTAGCCATGTGTAATTCGGCCAATCAAAACTGTCTCTGGGGACTTTATTTAAAATCATCTACAAAATGAAAACGTAAAATTTACCTGTCCACACTCAGGGCACACAAATTGAGGACGGTAATTCCAACTGAGGCTTTTTGTATGAACGGCACAAGTTTGCAAAGTAATTCTCCAACAGGAGACTGATCGAAGGGCCACCGCTGGGCTAGAAGCTGTTGAATTAAACAAAAGAAAAAGTGGTTAAGGAGTTTTATTTAGTAAATAGTCACGATTTTAACAGCACCGCCAACCCCCATTTTCCATGAAATGTGAGATAATCACCATTTGGAAGGTATTGAAGAACTTTATGTTTGGTTTCAATTACCTAGTGATAAATGACCCATAAATGCTATAGAAGAAACAGTGACCAACTCTTAATTATCACAGGGTTTGCTTGTAACTTCAGATTGAAAACTAAATCTCTTGGAAACAAATCAAGGTTTATGCTTACAAGAACAGACAAGAAAAAAAGGCTGGTTTATTAATGAACCTTATCAACCACTCAGACAGGGAATACAAGAAGTATTGAGGGCCTTGCTCACACAGAATAAACCCCATGGAATAGATTGTTACATTTAAAGTATCATCTCATGCATCATCTCTTTAGTGTGGTTATGCTCCAGTGTCCATACACAAGGTACGCATTTAACCGTGGCTTACCCAATTCACTATAATGCCCTTACAGTGATTTATAATATCAGTTGCAGCCAAGCTTTGCAATATACCCTGGTTTATATAAATATATGAAATGCTTAGTCTAACTGTATTTCTTTTAAGAAGGTAGTAATAACAGCTAATGTCATCAGGAAGTAATGTAAAGCTATAATGGAAAAACAAATGGCACACAATGTATCTAATGCACTCTCAAGGTAATGTCTGATTTATTATGCACACATTCTTCCTTGTAAGAGCCAATTCAGCATGTTAAATAAGCCATTTAGCATTTGTATCCCTACAGATTTCAAGAACCTGCTTGTTTTGTAGATGTGATGGGTTGTATTACATATTCAGGTAAACAACTGCTCGGACAGAAAATACACCAGCAAAGCCAAATTTTATTGCATGTGAGGAATATAGTACATGTGTAATACTAATGAGGACTGTGATATATTGTGAAGGCTAGTCCATAAGAAGTCCTAATTCTTGGAAGCAAAATTAAATCTCATACTGGTTCTCTAATCTATGAAACAGTATATTAATTTGATATTATAATATCAAAAACAAACGTAGTTTAACCAAAACACCTGTATAGACAAAGTGGAAAACTATTTATACTGGAAAATGTCATTTGTCATTACAATAAAAATACATCAAGTACTACAATATTAATTACAATATATAAAAAAAAAACTCTGTTTATATCGGACTATATAATATTTGTTTAATCAGTTTTCGCAACCAACACATTTCCAGATTTTGAAGGTATGTACAACATGTCCACTCCATCATATTTATTGGACACACCTACTTTGTAGATACTGGTCATCCAAGTCTAGAAGTACAATGATCAAATGTAGTATCTGAATGTCACATAACATTCTAACCAAATTTTTGTTATTGTACATCTGTTTAATAAATTAATCTGTGGTCTGCTTTTCAAACCTCTTCCATATTGATTAGAAATACTTGATTCCACTCACAACAATTTTCTGTGTTATTTAGGTATACTTTATTTATTTACAAAATATTTTACCAGGAAGAATACATTGAGTATTGAGTTTATCTAGTTTTTAAGTATGCCCCGGATGTATAATAGCATGTAATACAGTTTTGTGTTGATTATTTGTGGTTGTTGATTTTTTTAAGACTAATTGGTCTTTCTATACCATTTCTATACCATTACGACCTCAATTTTCCAAGTCTCATTGGAAATTTTTCTTACAGTGTTGAATCATTTAGGAAGCCTATTAAACTGGCGCCTATTTTGATGTTTGCCTCATTTTAATAACTTGAGTTTTAACTGACTTTGAGTCTGTACGGTTTTCTTGGTGCATAAATAACATCTTCCTTGTTTTTGTGTTTCATAGTTTCGTATTACGTCTTCAATTAAAGTCTTGCGAAAGAGCCCAAAGGCAAATGTCAGCCTGCAAATACCTATGTTCTATGTTCTAGATTTCAAGCTTTACATTACTCCCAAGTCTACTTGGTATTGGAGGTCAGGAAATGATTTTCATATTGTGGTTTGCATTAGGATTTTCATGAATTTTGTGTTTTTTTCTACCTAGGACCTCAAAAACTGGAAAATGGAAAAAACAATAATTGTCTATGAGCATATGACATTTATTTTGGGATGGTTCATTCTTTATGAATAGTTCAGTAAACATGTGCCAAGCTGTTCACAGACGCAATGTAGCCAGGGAACACATTTGTTCTTGGAGCATTGTATAAAAATGTTCGGTTTGAGACTGGTGTTGCAGATAATTTTAAATTGATTTTGTGACTTACAGGGTTATTTACTAAAGTGAGAATTGTCAGGAATTCAAAGTGAATTTCAATTTTAAGGTCAAAGTAGCTGAAATGGAAATAGAGATGATTTGGAGAATTTGTCCAGTTTGAAGCTTTTGGGCATTAATGTAAAATTCACTTTGAATTCATGGCAATTACATAGTTACATAGCTGAAAAGAGACTTGCGTCCATCAAGTTCAGCCTTCCTCACATATGTTTTTGCTGTTAATCCAAAAGAAGGCAAAAAACCTAGTCTGAAGCGCTTCCAATTTTGCAACAAACTAGGGAAAAATTCCTTCTTGACCGCAAAATAGCAGTCAGATGTCTCCTTGGATCAAGCAGCTATTACCCCACTAATTAGAACTTATATCCCTTTATGTTATGTTTTTGTAAGTATTTATCCAATTGCTGTTTAAACATCTGTATGGACTCTTATAAAACCACCTCTTCAGGCAGAGAATTCCATAGCCTTATTGCTCTTACGGTAAAAAAAACCCTTTTCTTTGCCTTAGATGAAATCTCCTTTCTTCCAACCTAAATGCGTGACCTTGTGTCTTATGTATAGCCCTGTTTATTTATAGATTTCCAGATAAAGGTTTGTAATGGCCCTGAATATGTATGTATAATGTTATCATATCCCATCTGAGGCACCGTTTTTCCAAACTAAAGAGATTAAAAATGTTTAACTTTTCTTCGTAACTAAAATGCTCTATTCATTTTATCAATTTTGTAGCTTGTCTTTGTACTTTTTCTAGTGCCATGATATCCTTCTTTAGAACAGGTGTCAAAAGTTGCGCAGCATATTCAAGGTGTGGTCTTACCAGCGATTTATAAAGAGGCAAAATTACATTTTCATAACGAGAATTTTTGACCCTAAATTTCTAATTTAGTATCTTATTTCAAAGAAGTACAAAATATTTTTACATACAGAAACAAATCTATAAAGCTTGTATTACAATCTAAACACACAGAGTCAAATGCCAGGAACCAGCTAAGTACCAGTAAATTGTGTAATTATAAATGTATCTCCTTAGTACCATTATCTAATCCAATGGGAGTATCTATGATATGTTACCTTACTCATCTATCTTATTAAAAGCACCCATCTTTAAATGTATTAACACATCCTATAGGTATTTGCGTGGTTTCAATTTTTTTTTCCACAACCTTTGAATTACCCTACAGTAATTCACTCCCACATAATTTATTCTGAAATCCTAGAATAAAGGGCCAGGAAGAGAGAAGACACGATTATTTGGGTTTTAAAAGAGTAACTGCCTCTTCTAAAGCACAGCACTTGGGAGGTAGACTAAAGTACACAAAACATTCAGAATTTGTTAAAAAAAAAAAAAAAGGTCATGTTTTGGCCACTTGACAAACCATCTTGCACAATTTAGACTTCAGTAGTTGTACGTAGAAATAATTCGTAGTTCAGCTCAGCTGGAGATTTTTGTATAACTATTCTATATTGGCCTAAATTTGGTAGTTTGATTCGCAAGTCTCTATAACTTGTTATTCATTGAAAAGTGTACTATTTAATTTCCGTGGATACAATTTTATGCTAATTAAGTAAGCAATGCTCCAAGCAGAAAACACAGAGCAAATCATATTGAAGAAACAAAGTTTTCTCTCCCATTGACATCTGAAAACAGTCTGAGACATAGAGATTATACAAAAGGTTTCATTTGTAAACATTAGGAAAGAGCAGGTTTACACTTACCATACGATGGACAACAACACAAAATAATTATTTTGGCGACACAATTTTCCCTTGGATGACGCACATGATATCTAAATTGGAATTTGAAATACTGTGCTTGAGATATAACTTGTTTTCACCTTTTTATAAAAAATACGCAGACTCTGCAATGGCATTCTAACTTACTAACTTTTTGCACGCTTTTTGCTACTTAGAAGTATAAGTGATGCTCACTAAGGTTGGAAGGAAGTAGAAATATTTTCTCCCATCAACCTTTTAACCTCCTTACTGCAAGGTCCTAACCTATGCCCCAAAGCATTTGCTTCATCAATAGTCCCTAGCTCTCTTGGATATTTATGCAAACACCACTTAGTACATTCCACTGTACATAATGAATCTATGTGCCATTGTCTAGCGAAAGAAAAATGTTACCATGCAAATTTTACAAACAAAGCAACGCACTCTAAACTTTAAGCAAAAATTGTTATATTCATTAAACAACCTTTTTTCTGTTATTGTGACTGCATTATATTTGTGTGCAACTTTAAATGTCTAGACAATGCATTAAAACCTTAAAACAAATAAGCACAGAAAAAAAACATTCCTATATTACTGTCTCAGAGCCAGGGTGGCAGGCTTATAGTTAGAGTAATATTTGACAAATTCTGGAGCTATATATAACTCTGAGCAGTGAAACAGACTGCATGATACTCTATGTACCATAACATTTTAAATTATGATGGTTAGACTAGACCTTTCACCCCTTAAGGACACATGACATGTGTGACGTCATGATTCCCTTTTATTACATAAGTTTGGTCCTTAAGTGGTTAAGGTGACTATCTAAAAGCAGTACATAACTGAGAAAATGGATCATATGCTTCAATGAACATATACTTTTGTCTGAATTCACTGCAAATGCTTTACTACACTTGTGTTTTACTCGGCACCACCCACAGCATTAGTCCCTGTTTCTATATATTTTTTTTCTCAGTACTTTTATCTGCATTGATGTCATCTCACCAAGACATCCACCGTTTCCTGCAGTGAGCTGTAACTTTAAGTACTAAACCATTCCTGCTCCCCCACCCATTTTTAATATATATATATCCAGCAATCCAGCATTTACCAGGTCTTATTTCCACTTAACATTTTCCATGTCATTCCCATGTCTTTTTACTTATCCTGACTCGACCGGGTCCTGGAGAATTTAAACTGTCTTCTACCTGAATACCGCCAAATACTTTATTCTTATTCTCCCTATCGTTAATGTGTTAAGATAGCTCTCTATTTAAATTTGTTTTATTATTCTTATTTATTATTAAACTCTTCCAAATGTTGCATATTTTCTCAAAATACACTTTAAGTACGCTTAGGAAGTAATACGATTTAATGTAACAGTTCAGAAGTTCCCCATTAGCTCTTGAGTTTCCTTGCTATGTATGGTGAGGTATGCTGCCTAGGGATACTAGTACGGACACTTAATTGCTAAAAAAAATAATGCTCTTGCCTAATGTAGACACCAGACTGAAGCCAAACAAGTGTTGAAACTCTTGAGAGTGACAAACAACATTAACAGAAATATGTAAGAATTCATTAGATCTATTTGTCTGTCTGTCTGTCTATCTAATAAATGCTCATGTGTTGGTGCCCAAAGTATGCCTGGGGCGTCCCTTTAACTTTACTCAGTATTCACTCGCTTAACTCCCAATTTGATTAGAGAGACTTATATTATGCTTATCTTTTTCTTTCATTTCCAACAGAAGCCAAGAGCAAAAAATAGTATAATACATATAAGTAAAGTACAAGTATAATACATCAAAAGTACAGATACTGATTGTACAGGTACAGAAAGTGACATCACTCTCACTCACCAATCACCTCTCAGCATAGGCTACAAATAACAGAGTTAAATTCTTCTTAAAGGGACACTATAAGAACCAAATCCTTTTCCTTTCAGTGTAGTATAAGGATGCAGTCCCCTTTTTAATAACAGTGCCAATATTACAACAAGCTCATTCATTGATTCTGCTTCAAATAAATGAGTATTGCTTTTCATGTATTACCTCAGAGGTTTCTGCAGTAGTTATATATTGTGCAGCGAACGTACAAGTTAAAAACCATATTATGGACCAGGAGCTGGTATCTAGGTAAAGTCACAGCACGACTTAAAAAACAAACAATTCATAAAAAACTAGCTATGAGTAAAAAAACAAAAAACAAACACTAAAAAAAGCTAACTCAGCATCAAAATACAGCATTAACAATTTAACACAATCTTCCAATCAAAACCAAAGTAGAGTATAATACACTAAAAGGCACATTGATAAAAACATTTTTTTTTTAAATAGTATATGATTACTTATAAATAAGAGGGATACAATGTTAATGTAGAATAACATAATGTAACATAAAATAGCAGTGCAATAGCAGTCTTATTATGATGACAGAGTCCACAATATGACAGTAAGTTACACAGGCTTCTGCACAAAAACAGGGGGTCATTGGGACTGGCAATGATGTATAATATTGTACTAGCTAATATGCACTGTTTGGTACATCATCCCCTCCTTCTAAGGCAAAGCAAAGATCACAATAGTAGGTCAAAGAGCGCAAAATTTGCAATAGGTATCTAAAAGACAAAAAAAAAAAAACCAACCAGAGACATTGCTGGCATAGTATTTCTGCATTGTGTGTATTATATTTTAGATTTAAATATTACCTATATTCAGTTGCTTTGGTCATTTTTTTTTCTTTAGTTTATTACAGTTATCCTGTCCCCAATTTTCTTTTATTTGGCTTAGACAGTGGCAGCCATCTTGGGGTGGCTGTCTGGAAAACCATCAGTCTTAAAAATTTAAAAGTAATGTTACTCAAAAAAGAAATTTGGAGTACCATGAAGAAATCACTCATGATGTTGAGATATTTGGCCAGAATAATAGGTTTGCTATCAGCCTCTCAACACATGGAGTAGTGAAATTGAATATTCAGGATAATTCCAGACTTCATTATTAAATCAAATGCCACCAGAGTAGGTTGGGGAGCAATATGTGCATTTATATATGAACAATAGATTGCTGATGCTGATTAGTAAGACTATGAAGTGGATCTCTTTCTAACAGTGACTAAAAAAACATGTTTTCAACCAAATATAAACAGTTTCAGAAACACCAGTGATTTACAGTGACAGAGAAAAGGGACAGCATCCTTGTACTGCAATAAAAGGGATAGGTTTTGGTTCTTAGAGTGTCCATTTAAGGATAATTCAACTACAAATAAGGAAGAATGTAACACTGTTATATTGGGCAAATGCTGAGAGATGATTGGTGGGAGGGAGTGATGTCACTAACTGAACATGTCCATTACCTACTGTTGTTCTAAGTGTTTAAGTATTGTAATTGTTTTGTCTTTGCTGTTATTGGAAGTATAAGAAAAGCATAACATGAGTCTCTGGACCTTTAATAAAATCATGCCTTTCCGTTTCCAACTAATTATGCCAAAGTAATGTAAATGTCCAAAGGTACCTGTCATATCCATTTACTTTTTCATAGTGAAAATTGAATGCCAAGTACAACCAATGTACAAGTATGCACAACTCTACAATTCTGTAACCAAAGTTTCCAGTGAGCAAAGAATTTTATACTCTGACTCCAAGTAATCGCGAACGTTAGAACATACTGTGACAGGGAACGATAACAATTCTGGCAAAAGCAGGATAGCAGCAGGTCATTACGTCTGGAGTTCAGACAAACAGTCCATTTATGTTCATAGACAACACTGTGAATTAATAATTATATTACTGCATTGTTTTTATGCATGCAGATGTAGAACAAATTCAGCATTATACAATTACAAGTGAGGCGCAGTAGCTGCAATATGAACTTGAAACAAGTTTAACAGGACTCCAGAAATCTGGTAATGGAGCATATCTTCTTCACATTACTGCCACTGAATTTTTTTTTAAACAGATTGCGTTAATAGGTGATCTTTTAAAAAACTCTTAATTCGTAAATAATTAAATATTCCCTGGCTTGGTACATTAAAGTTAGCTACCAAATCATTTCATGGAAGAATAATAGAATTGTTGCAAATATCATCTATACTTGTATCTTTTGGAAGTTTCCAATTAGAGAGAGCTAGGTCTGGCATAACCTTCTCTAAAATTAGTATATTAGTGCCCCCATAAATTTTATCTGTAAGATGTAACTATTTCTTGATTAATTGCCATTGGTTTATAGTTTGTTGTAACGTATTTACTGAGCCATTCGGAAAGGTAAACCCTTGATCACTGATATCTTGCCATAATACATATTCTAGGTGTGTTTCCTCCACTGAATCTGCTTCTAATTTATACCAGACTTCCAACTTTGCATCAGTTAGTTGTCATTTATAAATAGGAGCCATCATATTAGCTAGATATACTTCTCTTTTTACCGGGAAGCCTAACCCACCTTTACATCCTTTCTTCGCTAGAGTTTTAACGTTTATTCTAGGACTCCAGAAATCTGATAATATATTGAATTATATAAATACTGTGGCATAACTAGAGGCTGGTAGGACATAGTACACAATAGTGGTTATGGTGCCTAGAGTGTCCTGGTACCCCCTCAATATACCTAGAACAATTTTACTCCAGCTAGATGCTTCCCTTAACTGTCCTGAGCTAAACACTGCAGTGCAGGGCCAGCATATTTGCTGGGATTATCAACTAATTTCTCTGAGCCCAGCCCAGGCCTGTGCTGCCAGGTATAGTTCAGGCAGAGAGCCGCCGGCTCTCACTAAGACAAAGCGTGACGGCCAGCAGACCCCAGGTAGGAAGTCAAACTGTTATAAAATGATTTGACTACTTACATTGAGGGGTGCCAGATCACTCCTGGCACCATAACTAATAAAGGGCTCTGTAGTGTTTATGGCGCTTCAATTGTTCCTTTAAGCAGGGATCTTAGTGTGTACCTCAATTAACACAGTGTCTTGCAGGCATTCCTTTCCTTATATAAACTCTAAAGTCTTTCAGAAAGTTACATTCAGCTTTTTATTTTCATATTTTGGTTGAAGATTCAGTGTATTTTTATAGAAAACCATTGTAGTGTAATCAGAACTGCAAAAAAATAGATCAATGAAAAAAGTAACATTACAGGTAGTGAACAAAATTTACTTTCCAGTGCCAAGGTCTAGATCGATCTCCTCCTCCAGCGACGTCATGCCGTGCGTGCATTAGACCCTGAATCAATGCTATGGAGATATTGAAGATGCTGGACACCGTCTAACAAATAGTTTAAAGGAACTATTCTTGACCCTATAGTGTTTAAACCACAATTTAGATGGCTTGCCCCCCTTTACCCCCCTTAAAATGGATTAAAACCTACCTTATTTCTAGGCAGCACTGCCGTTCATTGAGACGCTAAATTTTCCTCGTAGAGATGCATTGCATTGATTCAATACATTTCTATGAGAAGGTGATGATTGGCCAAAACCAGGATTCCCCAAACTCTGGCCCTCCAGATGTTGCTGAACTACAACTCCCATGATTCTATGAATGACATAGATATGCGGAGAATCATGGGAGTTGTAGTTCAGCAACATCTGGAGGGCCGGAGTTTGGGGAAGCCTGGCCAAAACAGTGTTTGGCCCCTCCTCGCAACATTGGTGACATCATCAGAATTTACAAGAAAGAGGTGGGGTGGGGGTGGGGCCAAACACTGTTTTGGCCAATCAGCACCTCCTCAAAGAAATGCATTGAATCAATGCAATTTATCTCTATGAGGAAAATTCAGTGTCTCGCTGAACGGCAATGCTGCCTACTGTGCAGCACTTCCCCAGGAAGCATCTCCAGTGTCCATCTGAAGAGTGGCCACTGGAGGTGTCCCTAGTGGGCAGTGCTATCAATGCCCCTTTTCTCTGAAAAGACAGTGTTTGCATGAAAATGTCTGAAGGGAATGGTTATACTCACCAGAAAAACTACATTTACTGTACTTGTTCTGGTGATTATAGTGTCCCTTTAACTCTGTGAAAATGCAGGAGCACCTCTAAAGGCTGTCTCTGAAAATGCAATGTTTTCCATTACAGGTTTAAAGGGACAGGGGCACTTCACCCAGACCACTTCAATGAGATGAAGTGATCTGGGTGCCTATAATGTCTGTTTAAGCATTACAAAAAAGGTTTCGACATTCACTGAACTTCAGTTAACTACACATTGGTTTAGGGCATCATACCACCCAAGCAATAATATCTGAGTGGTGTCTACTGCTCCACTAAATGTGAGTAGATTATTCTTTTTTCTAATTATTGTATATTTTACAGAAAGCAATATTGTCTGCCTTTTATATTTTTTATATGCACCTCTATGCTGAGAGACTGACTCCTAGAGCTACATATCCATCAGTGGGAATTGTATCACTACATGCTGTTTTACTAGGGCTGGTTTTATAGCTCTATCAAATGTGAGTGCTATACCATATATTTGCTTGTTGTGTGTCCTGCACCTAGCACTAGATACTCTGCACCATCACCATTTATTTTTCTGTTTTATTACATGTACCTCCAATCACCTAAAGTCTGGACGATTACCAGCAAAGCACATTACAAGCACTTGATGTATTATTGGACTTTCTATTTGGCACAACCTGTATTTATATTTTGTATTGTCATGTTCTGTTTATCAGTAAGGGACTGGGGTATTCCTTGCTATCAGTGTTTGTAGCCTGTTTGAATTCTCACCCATTGTTGTTTTTTTTAGCCTTTAAATGTATGCTTGTACACTGTTATATATATATATATATATATCATATTGACTTATTTAATTTTTTTTCTCATGAGGGCTATACTAGCTTATTAGTTGTTTATCAACTACAGTATAATACGAAGGAACAGACCTTATCAATTCTGTGCAACAGCTATGATGCAGAAAGCCGTAAAAAGGAAATTCCAAGTCAAAATATCCTGAGTCTGTAAAATGATTAAAAGAATAAGAAGGAAAAGCAGACATCCTTAGACATTAGTGTTAAATGATCCAAAAGATCTCTCAGCCATGATTAAAAAGACTATACAATAACTGTTTATTGTAACACAGCAACAGCCCAGTCAAGAGAACTAAGAAACCATTTATTTTTGGGTAACAGTTTAAGGGAAATTATTAACAAAGATTGTACACTTTCCATTAGATGTATTGTATTTTACACACGCAACAGGAACATGGACTTGTGGTTACTGGGTCCTAGTGCATCTGAAATTCTATTCTAATTGTACTGCTCTAGAAATGAATTTGCTTTAGGGTTTGGGCATGGCCAGAAAAGAACATCTGAAAGAATGCTACTTGATCATTGTGAATACACTGAGGGTGACTTATTGAATTGCCTAGTATATTGGATGAATAGTTATACAAAAAGATTTATAATCTAAACCAGGGGTTCCCAAAAGGTAGATCCCGAGATGTTGTAGAACTACAATTCCCAATGATGTTTTGCATGTCTTTATAATGCCTTTAGAATTACAAAGCATAATTCAAGCTGTAGTTTTAAAACATCTGGGGACCTACCTTTTGGGTGCTCCTGATCTAAACACTACATTTTATTAAATTATAAATTGAATTGCAAAACCTGGCTAAAATGCCAAACTGTGGCTGTAGATGAGCTGGATAATTTTTTCATAAAATGTAATTTGGCCTATGTTGTCCTATTCTGTTTTTAATACTGCTATTTGAATTCTCAATTCTGCAATTTTCTCTGTGGCTTGTTTTTATGTCTATACAATTTAATATAATGATTTTATATTCTCTCAAATCCTCAATTTAGTATGCATGGTTAAAGCCATATTTGATATTTAAAAAACAACATTAACAAGGGGATACTACAAGATGAAAAGTATTGATAAAAAATATCTTAATTTTCATAGATGCTATTCTGCAGTGTCAACTGATTCACTAATCCAAGTTAAAAGCTAACAAAGTTTAAGCTGGTAATTGTAATTGCCTTAGAATACGTTAAACGAAGAAAGGCATCAAGGGGTTTATGAAGATACAGGAGGGACACTGGTTCTTAACCCATTATCCTCTCTCTTCCTGTTAAACGATTAACATGTGCCGAAACACTTTCCTCTGCCCACTACCTTTTCATGTAAACACAGAGCTCTTTCATTGCATAATTAAAAGACATCTCATTCAAGTACTGAAATCATCACCAATCATCATGTCTAATTATACAGCGTTTGTTAAACACATTGCCTATCCAATACCATATAGTATTTTAATTTCTGTAGGATTATGTGCAATTTAATTTAATTAGCGAAGAACAGTGGGAAAAAAATGAATTCAGAGTATCATAAACATGTAATTGTAAAAATGGGGAAAGGGTAAATGCTTTCATTTTTTGGGGATATTCTTAAGAACACTATAAAAGTTATCCTCTCCATTGCCTACATCTAACATTTTCCTTTTCAAATATCCACAATTTCTATTTTTACTAAATAAGTCCCAACAGGTGTAGGAACCAAAGAACAACTAAGTGTAACTTCATAACAAATATGTGCCTCTTAGGGACTATATATATAGAAACATAGAAACATAGAATGTGACGGCAGATAAGAACCATTCGGCCAATCTAGTATGCCCAATTTTCTAAATACTTCATTAGTCCCTGGCCTTATCTTATAGTTAGGATAGCCTTATGCCTATCCCACGCATACTTAAACTCCTTTACTGTGTTAACCTCTACCACTTCAGCTGGAAGGCTATTCCATGTATCCACTACCCTCTCTATAAAGTAATACTTCCTGATATTATTTTCAAACCTTTGCCCCTCTAATTTAAGACTATGTTCTCTTGTTGTGGTAGTTTTTCTTCTTTTAAATATAGTCTCCCCCTTTGATTCTCTTTATCTATTTAAATGTTTCTATCATATCCCCCCTGTCTCTTCTTGAAGTAAGGCTTTCTGGCCGATAATTGCCCGACTCCTCCCTATTACCTTTCTTGTGAATGGGCATAACATTCGCTAACTTCAAATCTTCTGGGACCACTCCTGTTAACAATGACTGGTTAAATAAATCTGTTAATGGTTTTGCTAGTTCACCACTAAGCTCTTTTAATACATTTAGGTGTATTCCATCAGGTACCATTGACTTATTTGTCTTTACTTTTGACAGTTGAAATTGAACCCCTTCCTCTGTAAACTCACATGTAACAAATTACTAATTTGTCCTTTTTCCTAACTGAGGCCCCTTTCCTTCATTTTCATCTGTAAATATTGAACAAAAATATTCGTTGAGGCAGCTAGCTAGACCTTTATCCTCTTCTACATACCTTCTTTCTCTTGTTTTTACTCTAACTAATTATTGTTTTACTTCTCTTTTCTAATTTATGTATCTAAAAAAATGTTTGTCCCCTTTTTTTTACTGACTGTGCTATTTTCTCTTCTGTGTGTGATTCGGAAGCTCTCATAACTTGCTTAGCCTCTTTCTGCCTACTTTTATAGATCTGTCTATCTTCCTCACTCTGGGTTTTTTTTATAATTACTAACTTTTATTTTTTTACTATTTTGGCCAGATCTGATGAGTACCACAGTGGTTTCTTGATTTTTTTGGCTTTTACTGACAAGCCTAATGCAATTTCTGTTGCCTTCAGTAGTGCAACTTTTAAATAATCCCATTTCTCTTGGACTCCGTTTAAATTGCTCCAGTCTGATAATGACTCCTCTACACATATTCTAATTTTAGAAAAGTCTGTTTTTCTAAAGTCTAAAACTTTTGTTTTTGTGTGGTGTGACTCAGTCACTGTTCTTATATTAAACCACACTTACTGATGATCACTGAAAGGTAAACTTTCACCTAGAGTAATATCTGATACCAAATCTCCATTTGTTAACACTAAATTTAGTATGGCCTCTTTACGAGTTGGCTCCTCAACTACTTGTTTTAGAGACAATCCCAGTAGGGAGTTTACAATATGTGTGCTCCTGGCACAAGCAGCTATTTTGGTTTTCCAGTTCACATCAGAAAAATTAAAATCACCCATGATGATAACTTCCCCCTTCATTGTCATTTTAGCTATTTCCTCAACTAGAAGATTATCTAACTCTTCTGTTTGTCCTGGGGCCCTATAAATCACACCTTCACTAGTTACTGTGTGATTACCAAATTCTAACCTAACCCAAACGGACTCTATGTTCGCCTCACTAACTTTTATTAGGTTCGATTTTCTGCTGTCCTTCACATACAGGGCCATGCCTCCCCCTTTATTACCTTCATTGTCTTTTCTATATAAAGAGTACCCTGGTATTGCTATGTCCCAGTCATTTTTCTCATTATATCAAGTTGCAGTAACAGCAACTAAATCTACACTATCAGTTGCCATTATTGCCACAAGTTCATGGCTCTTATTCCCTAAACTGCGAGCATTTATAGACATCACTCTAAGCTTATCATTTTTTAAAACACTTACTACAGGCACCTTCTGTCCTTGTTTTGGGGGGCAATTGGATTGATGTTTTATCACCATTTTGCCTCCCCCTCCTAGTTTAAATACATCCTAGCAAAACCTCTGAGCTGCTCGATGAGAACATTTGTTCCCTTTTGAGAAATGAAGCCAAATCATTGCTCCCGACACCATTCACCAAACCTCAAGTTAAAGTCCCTAGTACGCATCAGACTGTTGTTCTGAGTGTTATGCACAGGCAGAACTTCAGAGAATGACAGTGTGAAAAAAAACCTGCCGTATATCATTGGCAAAATCATTAAAAACTTCCATTACCTCTGAAACCTCATTGCAAGCCAAGTCATTTGTCGCTAGATGGACAAGTACATCCAATTGCCCTTCCTGCTTTGCTCACTTAACAATATTATAAGTACGTCTCCTGTCTCTATGAGCAGTATCTATGGGAAGACAGCTCACAAGACCATAATATATTTTCTATTGGCAACATGATACCATATCATAGAGAAGGCTCTTAATAGAATGAAAAATTTACTTATTAAGTCTCTCTGCCCTTTTAATATATAGAAATATGCATTATCGCACAAAAAAAAATAATTCAATAAGGGTCTTTCTACTTATTTTTTTTCCCATGTTCTACGCTGAGATGACCTCTCCAGAGCTAACTGCACTTCTTTGTACAGGTCATTCAGATCCCTTTTACTGAAGTTGACCCCCTACAGGTTTTTGCTCTTGATCACATCCATTCACTTCATATGATGGCCCTACTCAAGATTCTTTACTATCATGGTGGATCAGCATGAGAAGGTTGGTGGTTCCATACTAACTTTTACCTGGTCCAGTAAGAGAGCCAGAGCTTCCACAAATAATGATTTACTTCCCCATCTGAAGGGAGACTTGGGAGCTGCTGATGTCCCAATATCTTTCTCTATTACAGAGCCCACAGCTTGCCCAGATGTTGAGATGACGCTCTCTAGATGTTTGGGGTGTTGGACAGGTATAGAGGGATCTTTTGTTCATTTTCTTATGGAACGTCAATAAGTACCTATATTTTGGGTACTTTGTATTATTATTAGTGGCCTGTAGTAGTAATTGTGCTTGAAGTGATCTTTGAATATTTATTTAATGATGGTTAGGTGCTTTAAGAGTATTTTCTTCTGTTGACTTTAATATCAATAAGTCAATAATACTTTATGACCATAAATGTGCATTACTCCCTCTTACTCTAGATAGGTCCTTACTTTAGTGGAACAAGGTCTATGAAAAGAGGACTGTGTGGATTTATAATGGAACACTGAAGAAATGAATGGCGTTCTTACAAGGCCAAATGCTAAATTGAGAAATCCAGCATCTTCCAATCCACATTGTTCTCAGATGAAAGGGGTAGGTCAAGAAACTTTTCTGGAATAAATTAACTAAACACTGAATCTAACACATTTTAATATTTTTCTTCAAAGTAACATGATCTTTGTATCATCTGAGCTCTGTTATTCAGTACAATACGTTCTTTATTGTTAAAGACAAACATTCTATTGCATCAATTATATTGAAACGCAACACTGTTTTCCTTTTTTTGCAGAATCATAAAAAAGTAAATGTTCACAAAAATAGTTTTACTTAAATATATCAGGTCTCATAAAATAATCAGTTGATCACTGTCCCTTATACAAAACCACAAAACATTATTTGGAAAAAACAAACAAACAAAAAAATGAGCAATCATTTAATTTGGGTTACAAATTAAAAGCAACATACTGTTTAAATGCATTCGACAGGAATAAAGAAAAAATGTTTATGAATAGATTGTACAAATACACAGACGTCTTGGCAACATGATGCATAGTGTATTAAACAAACCTTCTCCTCATGGGTGTTGAATGGGTCACTATTTATCATATTTTACATCTATGATGTCAGTTTCTTCTCATTTATTGAATATAGTTTAATGCCTGAATTTATGTTGGATTTGTTTTAATATTATTGTCATTTAGTAGTACTTTCACATGTCATGCAATATTAGTGTGTATCAGGCAGATAATCGTTTTATTTTCGAGGGCGAAGGTAGACAGATAGACATGCAAAAATTAACCTTGTTTATTATGATGAAGAACTGAAGAACAGAATCAGTATAAAAGATCTATTCATGTTTTAGATAAAACCAATTCTTGGTTTAAAGAACAGTAAACAGCTTTTTGAAAACATAGTTTATTGATATTGGAAGTGTTTAGAACTACAAAATAAAATGACATGGGCTTTTAAATGGTTCAGAGATGAAAAGCAAAAAAGGGAATGGAATATATTATGCTTAATGTAATAAAAGGGTTTATGACTCTTTAAAACTAACAACAACACAACGTAAGGGAGGACCCAAGAGATTTTACAAAACTTTTCTTTTAAAAATTAAGGTAATTTGATGGTCAATAGTGACAGAATATTAAAATGTCTTTAAGAAACCAAATCTGAACTAACACTAAGGAATTCTTACAGAGAATACAAAAAGAATGGCAAAAATAGAATACATTCTATTTTACGCTGACAAAGTGGAAAATAAGCATGAAATATAACATCATAAGAAAATATCTATATGATCTTAAAACAATTCCAAATATTAAGTAAAAAAAAAAAATCACCAAAAATCACTGAACAGTTATAAACAATGTATTCTCTACAACAATCACAGTTAAGATATAGGAAGGAATAAATAAATAAACTGAATCCTAGCAAGAAATCAACATCCCTGAAGGCAAAGAAAATGAACTAAATACAGCATAACTGGAATACAGGCATCACTATGTGCTCTTGGACTCTAACTAATCCTTTATGACAAGACCCTCTCTGTAAAAACAAAAGAAGAAATTGAATGTTGCTGCGTGTAATTATTATTATAATTTATAAAGCGCCAACTAATCTCTCTTGCTCTCTCCTAAAGGGCAGCCCACCTTATTTGACTGCAAACTCCTGTCCTAATGTGTTTTACACCCCACCTCCTATAGAATGTAAGCTCGATTGAGCAGGGTCTCTTCAACCTATTGTTCCGTAAGCTTTTTGTAATTGTCCTATTTATAGTTAAATCCCCCTCTCATCATATTGTAAAGCGCTACGGAATCTGTTGGCGCTATATTAATGGCAATAATAATAATAATAATAATAATAAAGTACAAATTACAATTCAAACAAATCCATGATTTAGTGCAACTTTGCTAGATTTACATAAGCTGCCTTTTTCTGCCTTTACAGAAGATGCTAGCTTTCAATTCCATGCTAACACACACACACACACACACACACACACATATATATGTGTGTATCTATCTATATATATATATACCTTAAAGTATTTGCACAGATTAATGAAGGGGGCGCAGAGAAAGCCTCTGACATTTCAGCCGATGGTCAGTGAAAATGCTCTCCATATGTATTGGAGGTGAATGTTAACCTAACCCAGATGTGACCTGTGTGACCGCATGATTGGCACAGATGTGAAGTAGTATTTTATGGCCAAAATCATGGAACATATAAACATTCTGATTCTGAATTATAGATGAATAAAAGTTACAAAAACAAAGTATGTTTATTTTGGATATTTTACAATTTGAATTATGTGACATAGCAATGCATTGAATGAACCATTGGCTGTATAAGAGGTAACCATTTCAGTTTGAATGTATTCTGTGTATTGATTAGGAAATATCAGCAACATTAAACAGAGAATAAAAAGATTTCTGGATAAAATATAAAAAACTATTTGCTATTAGAAAAAAACTATTAGAAGCATATTAAGTGAAAATTAGCCTATTAAGCTCCACTTAACAGCCAGGAGATCCGGAAGCTCCTGCTATGAAGTTTTCATTAGCTCTCGTGAGCTAAGCCCTGCAGTGCATCAGCTGATCGCTGTCAGTCAAAGCGCTAAGCCTTACACTGCTGGTCTTAGCTCACAGAGGTTCTGGCTCTCTGAGTGCTGTAGTGGAAACAGAGAGCAGATGGACTTCAGGTTTAAAGTCAAATTGTTCTAAAACAGTTTTACTACTTATAATGGGAAAACACCAGAGCACTCCTAGTACAATAACTCCTCGAGCATGCTTAGTGTTTGGAGTGTTCCTTTAATGTTAGCAATTTTATCAGACTATGATGTAGCATTAGTTGAACACCTGCAGTTACTTAAATTGCAGTACTTGGAATTGTGATAATCCTTACTTCGTATGTTTCTGAGGCTCACGATATGCATGCACAGCTAACTATAGTGGTATTGTCAAAGTTCTCGCCTTTCTGGCAGAATTACAAAATGCATTCTGCATAAACTCTGGCTTCAAAAGTATTCTGAAGATATATATATATATATATATATATATATATATATATAAACTAAATTTAATTCAGACTTAATCTTATGTACAATATATGTAACATTTTCTGTCACACTGTGGTGTACTTTGGCACAGTTTATAGGGCCTGTTCAATAAATGGCTGATTTTTCAGCTAACTTTTAAAGAGAGTTACTTGAGTTTTTTAATGTTATTTCAAGACAGCTGCTTGAAACGGTCAGATATTCAAAGTATCGAGCTGTTCTGACCCCAGAACTATTGCTAAAGCACATTATGCACTGAAGTCTGGGTGGTTGTGTACTCCACAGAGGGTGCCAAGCTCTCTGTGTATCCTATTCCATGAAGTGCTCACAGTAAGCACTCCTTTTAGCCTTTCAAAATATTTAAATCTCAGCAGTAGAGGAATCATGCACAGCTATGGTGACCTTTTTCAGCACTGTTCAAGCTAGTATGCTTTTTCATAGGAAGTTGCTTGACACATTAATGTAACATAGCATATGTATAAATAATTACTTCCAGATTAAAAATGATTGAGGCATTGAGGCAGATGCATCACATTCTAGATTTTTATGTGATGCTGATATTCATAATTTAAAGAAAACTCTTAGCCTTTCTCCAGAGACTCCTGAATTGAATAAATGTCAACTTTATCTCTTTACGAACATTCCTGTATTGACTATGTAGCAATAACTTTTCTTTCATGAAATAAATGCATAGTCACTTTTATCCTATCAGTTGTGTCAATGAGGTGAGAGTGTTTAAAATCCCGTAAATAGATGATTACGGGAAAGTGTTAACTCTTCTAAAAATAACGCTCCAATTTGTATGAGCTCAGTGTCATTGAAGGTTTTATTTGAAAAAAAAGATGCTCAACCTAGAAAATAGAATAAAGAAGACAAAACAAAAGGCAGTAGAAAACACCAACATCCAAAATATTCAGAAAGCCTCTATTAGTTTCTTACCTTAAACACGGCTATAGGAATGTCAATGACAATATAGATAAGATCCCCAAGAGCCAGGCTGGCTATCAGTGCATTTGGTCCATTCCTCATGCACTTGTTCTTGTATATTATCCTTAGCAGGGTTGCATTCCCGACCATTCCAACAATGAAAATAGCACAAGATAACACTGTGTTAATGTATTTGAAGGCTTGACTGATTTTGGTCCTTTTAGGGCACATTTCTGATCTATTTGACCTTCTTGGAGGTGGCGGATAAGTCTTATTCGTCATAGTGAATTCTGTACTTGAATTAGTGTGATTTTCATAGAATTCCCCAGCAGTGTTACAGATGACAAACCCAGTCACCACAAAGAGTAAGAAGAACCTCAGAACGGCTGCACCCATCTTGGCGGCCAGTGATACGTGATTGGATTATCTCAGTTGTCTATGGTTTATCTAAAACAGAAATAAAACAGAACTCATGAAGTTACTCAGGCACAGGTTTTTAATCTGACTTTTGTGTACACCGATGAATTACAGCGTCTCTCTTTCTATTTGCTAAGTAAAAATGTAAAGAACAATTTGTTTAATGCCATATACAGGACATTCAAGAATGCATTTTCATGTCATCCTACTAAAAACAAGGAAAAACTGCCATCTTAAAAAGTAAAATAAAAATAGATTAAAAAAATCACAGTTGTATTTCTGAATATTTTTTAAACATATACAATTTATTGAGACATCTTTATCAACTCCTACAGGCTGTCAGTATTATTCATAAAGTGTGACTTGTCAGCTATGATAGTGAGTAGTGCCAGCCTGCTGTAGTGGTAATGGGTCCAGGAGTGTCATGTTAAGGTCACACAGTAATCAAGTCATTTTAGTACCGATTGACAAAATAACTGGGTCCCAATAGGACTCGTGCCACATTGAGTCTTCTGCTGCAGGAGAAGCCACATGTTTATATAGAACAGAATAAAGCACAGATGGTGCACTCATTGGCTGACAGGGATCAGCTGGCCCTCATGGCCAATAAGTGCAATCCTGCAAAGCCTTTCTGAGCTTTTTATAGCTAACCGTATTCTCCTACTGGAGAAGATGGGAAGCAGTGGCAACCAGATCACTTCTTTTCATTGTAGAGAAGCAGCAATGTTTACTTTGCAAGATTAAGAATGCCTCTAGGGACTACCTCTCAGAGAGCCACTAGAGACATTACTGCAGTTTCATGTAGTGCAATATGTGAAATGATACTGTATGTCCTCACACTTTGCATGAGGACATCTAACTTGTTGAAAAACCCGACAAGAAAGCATTGAGTTAATGGGGAATGGGAAATGCCTAATGTGTGCCAGACATTTGCCATGCATGCGCATTAGATCCGGGATCATGCTGACATCGGTGGTGGAGAAGCCAGATCCAGTGCAGAGGGATATCAGAGTTTTTGAAAGTATGTTTTAACTCTTTACATGGCCAAGGGGGGCTGCGGGGGTGGGGGGTACAGGTGGGAGGAGGGACATTATAGTGTTAGGAATACAGTTTTGTATTCCTAATTTTTTAGTGTTCCTTAAGCCTGTCAACCTGAAAAAAGGTAATACTGCATATTCAAAAAAATATATAAAATGTTTACTAAATATATGTAAAAAGGTTTAGTAAATATATATATATATATAAACAGACAAACAGACATGAAATTACAATCTACAGATATAAATATATAGTGAAAAATGTCAAGAAGATTCATTATTGCTCTACCAAGAGCCTGGACTAGTTTAGCCTTTAGCTCCATTATCTGAGCTCTTTCAGTATCCACAAGAATAACTGTTACATATATCTGACAGTGGAGAGATTAAATTAGGACTTGCTACAGATATTTTATCTCATATGTTTCAAGCTAGTGCATTAGGCAAAGTGACAAAGACTCTAGTGCAGGACATGCATTAGGGTAGTCTGGGAAAATAGGTTAGTGTAAAATCAAGAACAACTCCGGAGTGGATTGCATTGCTAGAGATAAATATGATTGATTATTGAATAGTCATTACTCAGTTATTCATGGAAAAATTACTAGAAAATTACTATTCAATTACTAGAGATAATCTTATTTTGTATACTATTATTGTGTCCTATGCTTCCAGTTTGTAATGAATAATTATACAACATAAAGCAAACTATAATCTCTACAAATCATAATTTATACTAGGCAGCCTATATTGCAAACATTTGTAAATATTTTAATACAGTGGGTCAATAATATCTAATACATAAGAACTGCAAAGTGGTCTTCCTCTCGGAATAAACATACTGACACATTGTTCATTAATAAAGTCTATAAAGTCTATGCCAACCATCTCTTCTTGTGTTACGAAGAAAATAATAAAACCATTTGTGTATCATATGTGGTTTCCACTCTCTAATAGTCATAGAATAGCCTAATAGTCAATAGTCTAAATGTCAGCTAATTCGATCGAACATCAGATTTTCAGCAGAATACTGCAAAGTGTTATTTTAGAGTGTTCTTATGTGCTATCAGTCACAACTTTAGTGTGAATAATAGTTACAAAACTGCTCTAAGGAATTCCATGTGGAACTGATTCATCATTGCCTAATGACTGCAGAAAAATCCACCTTGGCTTTAATATATTATTCCTTGTTGCTTTTAAGGAATAATATGATCAACATATCTTGAAGTCAGTGATGCATACAACACGTATGAAAATACATATGTTCTTGAAAGATGAGTGTATTGATGATAGATTGAGAGAAAGAGATTACAATAAACTTTGAGAGATTAAGATGGAGATATAGATGGAAAGATAGCTAGACAGACAAATAATAGATTGATAGATCCTATAGACTGTAAGCTTGTTTGAGAAGGGTCCTCTTCAACCTATCGTTCCTGTAAGTTTTCTTGTAATTGTCCTGTTTATAGTTACATCCCCCTCTTATAATATTGTAAAGCGCTACGGAATCTGTTGGCACTATATAAATAGCGATAATAATAATAATAGATAGATAGATATCCTTGCATTCAAAAAATTAATAAACCATTCAAATTCATGCAGCTGTTCCTCATGGGGCATACCGAATTTAATCGATGGAGAAGATTATATTGCTAAGGATATACTTTATAAACCTGTAAAGAGATTTTAAGTTTGACTACAAATTTTTTTTTTTTTTTGAGGAACTAAAATGATATATTTAAACATGTAAACATATACAAACAACTGCTTATAAAGACAAAGTACTATAGAGTTGTTGATCTCAAACAAGACATCCAAAGCCCTCGAAGAGTAGTAAAACATTCAGTTTAATTAGTGTTGCAAAGACCTGTTTGGGGTCTCAAATTGAGATCTGCACATTCTATCATTATTTTTCCATATACACACACTCACGCACAAGCAATACTATATTATACTATCTGTTCTTTATAATGGTATAATTGTATAATGGCGCAGACACAGGTTAATATTATTTCCCAATCACCAGGAAACTCTTTTTTTTTTTTTATTCCATTCTCCTTTGCCCTCTCCTGAAAGCTGTATTATACGGTACAAAATAAATATTTGGATCAGACTCTGGGAATCATGTTCATTTGAGGATGAAAAGTGTCTGCACAACTATTTATAAGCAGGATTCCAGAATGCACTAGTCTGAGAAACCCACATACAATACTGTAAAATCTCAGACAATCCCTCTGGGATGAGCAATGCTTATCCAAATATGAACAGCACAACAGAGATTACATGTGACCCTAGAGAGGTATGTGAGGTTTAGACGTATTGTCTTCAATTGTATTGTATACAATAACAGCATGTTATTAAATAGAGGGACACACTTTACACACACACTGCAATAAACAAAGCACATTTGTTTTCCTTTATATTCCTACTTGTGTTTGACTCAATATAATTTAAATCCTGAACCGTTTCTGAAAAGGAAATAGGAAATGTGTTTTTGTGAAGTGACATGGTATCTGTTAGTGGCGTGAAAGAGTATTTTGTACTACAACCCAAATCAAGCTCAGTCAGCCATCTAACTGCTAGTTTTGACATGCCATTTTTGGATTTTAAAGTCTTGAACCCAAACCTAACATACCAAGCATTGCCCGCTGACCACTTTCTGTGACAAACACCATCATCTAAAAGGGATAACAGCCTTTAGAAACAAACAGAAACCAACATTAGGTTTTATCAGAACATTAAGCTTGTAAGTACAATCAGTGCTTGTCGGTAATGCTTATTACAGATGTCAATAAAAATTGCTACATTTCAAACAACATGAGGAACAAGAGCACAATCATACTACATACTTTTATTCCCCTGGCTTTTTTGATCACATATTTCCCATTTAGAAAAATCTAATAAATGATACATAATGGCTAAACCCACATTTTACCCAAGAGGTACACTCACACATTATACCCAATTGGTATCCCCACACATTATGCCCAATTGGTATCCCCACACATTATGCCCAGTGCTATGGGCATTAAACTGTGGAATTCACAAATACGGTTTATTGATGATTTTATTCAAATCAACCATTTTACCTAAATTTATCACAACTCACCGTTGAATGAAGAAACCCCTATTTAGGACTATCACTAGCATCACTTATAACTAGCAAGAGATGTGTTTTTACATGGGATTCTACTAAATGTATGTTCCGCTGCCAACACGATGTCATTGCATTACACTGCTATTTCATGGAATGCTTTCATCACAAACATATAGAGAACATTGACCTTGAAAAAGAGATTCACTGGGTGTTAAAAAAGATGAAAAGTGTTTCTGTAATTCCAAGGTGATACATTGTAACGTTTTCTGAACATGCCCTAACCTTCAAAACAGAGCAACACATATTTCTAGGCGATTACTTAATTACAGTCATTATGAGATTACTTGCTGTTTTAGTTGCTGCACTTAAACAGAAATTAAAGTTAAAATCATTTGGGGGGTCTATCATTATTAACATCCGGAGTTTAAACCCCTCTTCAAAATTAAATTAATATTAACCTCACGTGAATTGCTTAACCTCGTCAGTGCTGGATAGGATAGACTGCTGCTATAGCATGAGAATTACAAACACACACACATACACACACACACACACACACACTCTCTCTCTCTCTCTTTAATTAAATAGTAGTTACCATGTATTGTAATCAGATGATTTGGGGGACTCCTATGTCTTCCAAGTCTCCAGAGGAATATGTGAAGCAGAGATCTGTAGCATGGGAACTTGTGACATCCAACTTCCAAAGCAAGTTTTCCTCCACACTACCTCCAAGCACTGAATTACTAGTGTTGAGATCACTGCTTCGTCTGAGCCATCCTGTCACAGACTAGTGGCTGGGTGGGATGGGATAATCTCCACCTCCTGGTGAAGACAAAGAGGGAAGCAGGAAGAATAGAACCCAGTGCACGCTGATCCCCTGCCAACCTCCAGTGCATGCATCAAAAAGATTCTGCCTTCCAGGCATAGGGAGAGCTAAGTTTCTTAACCATTTCCTGGCTTTAGCTAAAGCTCCCACAACATGTTACTTGTAGTTATGGGTCCTGAGAGCCTCGCCTGGGTTTAATTTAAAGCTGGGAGGATGTTATGAGCAGGAGAGTGAGATAAGACTGGAACATGTTTGTTGTTGGGTTTCATAGATAGCTGTGTTTTATTTCACAGTAATTCTGATACATAACGAAACAATTTCAGATGTAAAGAGAAAGTGTCTGCACACATTCCTGAGTAGAAAAAAAAGAACTTCTTTATTAGTATGTGTCTGACCTATTAAAATAAAATGAAAGTGCAAACACACACACACACACACTGACTTGTTCTGAATTTGATTCTATTCCTCCATGCCTTCCTCTGTATCCTGCTCTCTGTTTCTATCCTTTCCCTTTCCTCCCATCACGTTATCATTATTAGGGTTACCAATAACGTCCATAGTTACTCTTTATACATAACCCTCATTGTATTTATTGAAGGCAGTCTGTGCTCAGACTATTATTGCAAGGCATCCTATTGGTACACTACTTAACTTGGTGTTTTGCAACTTTCTGTGCTGGTGTGTGAGGGCATCCCATTGACACTGTGATTGCAGAATCAGGCAACTGTTACTACAAGGTGATGATGGTGGTTGTGGTGGGGGCTGTGCAATGCCCCCTGATATTGTTTAAACAAAATCGGCTGGGAGACGCATTCCAGCCAAGACTTTCAGGGAAATGGATCCCTTTGATTTAAAGGGACACTATAGTCACCACAACAACTTTAGCTTAATGAAGCAGTTTTGGTGCATAGATCATGCCCATGAAGTTGCACTGCTCAATTCTCTGCCACTTAGAAGTTAAAACACTTTGTTTCAGTTTATGCAGATCTAGCCCTTTCTCCCTCCACCGCTGTGACTCACACAGCCTACATGAAACCAAAATGGTTTAATTTCAATCAGATGTTACTTATTTTAACCCCTTAAGGACACATGACATGTGTGACATGTCATGATTCCCTTTTATTCCAGAAGTTTGGTCCTTAAGGGGTTAAAGGTTTTTATCTCCTGCTCTGTAAATGTAACTTTAGTTACATACTGGAGGTTTCTGTAGGTTCTAGCAAGATATTAACTGAGCAGGAGATAAATTCTAAATTAAACAGAACAACAAAGGAAGTGTAAACATTAGATTAATCTTTACAGGACGCGTTTAGGAAGGCTTTGTAAGTCACATGCAGGTAGGTGTGACTAGGGCTGCAGAAAGAAAGTGATTTAACTCTTAAATATCAGAGAATTGAGCAGTGAGGCTACATGGGCATGATCTATACACCAAAACTACTTCAATAAGCTCAAGTTATCTTGGTGACTATAGTGTCCCATTAGCAAACCCTCAGGTGCTGCACATATTAACGAGGGATATGGGAGGCCATTGATTCGTAAAATGTTGTAGGGATTCACAGGATGACCTTACAATACCTTCTTCCAGTCATAATATATTGGATGGTGCCTTCCATTATCATGTCTTTACCACTCTCTGAAATCTGCTGTTTGGGCATGTAGCTGTAATTCTTTCTGTAGACACCTAATGAAGACATGTAGATGTTGTATATTGCAAATTGGTTCACTTACTATGCAGTGATTTAAGGAAATTCATAAATGGTTTATGGGAATGGAATCCGCGGTGGAGTCTAGGTGCAACTTTGTACAAATCTCACTGGCAAAACGGCATACTATGTAACTAGTTTTGCCATCTAACCACTGTTGCTCAGTTAGCCCAGTCGTATACAAGCCATATCTCATTATTAAATAAATATGTATAGCTAAACAGTTCTTAAAGGACAGAATGTAATCCAGTGGTGCCTCTTGCTAGGTATTCCCTGTGTTCCATGCAGGTATGTAGGTACAGAATTCTGGAGTCAATAGGTGTAAGTAGCACTACATATGGACTACGTGATAACTATGAAAAGATGAATCTTAAAGTTTTGGAACTGGGAGAAAGAAGTGGATAATAGTTACTAGCAGTAGATATTGAGATTTTAAGGGTTGGCGAGAGACATTAGCCTGAGGTTGAACAAAGAAATAGCATGGGTAGTTGTGAGTTAGTGAATGGAGGGAGGATAGGGAGGTAGAAAGGGTATATACTCAACTAAGTTAAGAAAAAGGATTGTGGGATAAAAACTGGGAAATTTGGTTGAGATTTGTGCCATATGGCAAGAGAAGGATTTATTTGGAAAATATGGTATTTTGTAGGATGACTTTGAGGAAATTACATTGGGGAAATGTATTGTGAGAGTATTGCAAGGTGGGGTGAATAAGGGGGAACTGTTGTGGGCATGCCTTATTAATCTTATGAGAAAAGGTGAGACCCAAATTCTATAGGAGTTTATTACTAAAGTGAGAATTCAAAGTGAATCAAAAATGAATTTCAATTTTAAAGACCAACATAGCCAAATAGGACAAATCTCTAAATCAGATATCATTTCAGTGCAGCTTATTTGACCTTAAACTTGAAAGCACTTACAATTCACTTTAGTAAATCCTCCTGATATGTTAATTCTGAGGCAGGAAATGAAAATATTAGGGGCTACATATATTTAAAAAGAGTTGTGCTTAATTTTAGACAGTTTTTTGGTGCTATTCTGTATTGTGGCTAGTTATTTCCTCATTTCCTCATTTATGTCAAAATATTTTTTGCTGCTCCGTCACTTTATTTTCATGTTCCCTGTTCCATTTTAGATATTTTTTTTGTTTCACAAACGTGTCACTAATGTAGGAAAAAGAGCGTGCCTTTCTCTTCTGACAAAGTTTTTCACTACAGTCAAAGTAGTGTAAGTGGCTTTCACTGTCATACTTTTCATTTCAGGTGGCATTACTCATTTGTCTTATGTTGTGCATGTAATTAATGATATAATGATATCACAAGTAAATAAAATAAGCAAAATAAAAAAATCTGAAAGAAGAATATTAAGTGCCATAAAGACACATTATTTCGGTATTTTACAAAAAAGGCGAGAAAAAAAAAATCCCCAATGTGCAAACGTTGAGTAACAGTTTAACAACTAAGAAAATGGCACTTCTCAGAAAACGAATTCAAATGTGAACACAAATTTGCCAAGTATTGTATTTAACCCTCCCACCCCTTCTGCCCCCCTTGACTTTAGGGCAGGACCAACAGAGGAAATAAAAAATGATTTTGGTCATTGGAAAGTGAATTGTATAATGAGGACCACATTCTAGCATGATGTCAGATGTAAGGATTTTAGAGTCTGGGCACTATATTGTAACACATAATGCTGCCCCAAGCGGTACCATGCCTGTACTTGGCATATGTATGAATTGTAGAAGGTATCTGAGTCTTAATGTGCATGTTTTTGTTTGTGTGTATGTGTGTACGTATGGATGTACGTACATATGTATGTACGTATGTTTGTTTTCTTTTTCTTTCTTTGTCCCTTTTGAGCATTTTCAACATTTGGCAGCTCTATACATTCAAGAAAATTATTTTCAAAAGGAGTAGAACTTTGATAGAATGATGCAAAGCAAATACAGCAGGGACAACATAAGATAAAAAGAAAGAAAAAATAACCTTGTAAAAAAGCACAGAGGAAAACGCCACAAATGTATGTTTGAGAGTTGTATCCATAAGGAGTCTCCCTGTGTTTTACCGAGGTGGCTATCCCTTGCTGAAGACATCACGGAGAGTGAATCTACTATGTAGTAGTATTCAAAATTCAGTTAAATTTCACATGCATTTTTCTTCATTACAATTGCATGAATTGTGAGTTGCTTACAAACTTCCAGCAAATTATAAAGGTCGCTCTCAGATGTGGAAATGCTGTAAAAGGGGCCCCTTGCCAGTAACAGCTCAAATGAAAAGGTTACATATGTTAGTCAGATGTTGTGAATACTAAATACAAATAAATCATATCCCATATTGCAGACCATTGTTTGAGGAAAGAATAAATTGAAACTTTTATGCTCCATAGTGGATTTGGGATAGATTTATAAAGAAGTAAAAATGAAATCTATAAAGCTGAGTAGATTAAATACTTAAAACCGAGGAATCTTCATTCTTTAATTTTTTTACATTGTCTGAGCCAGGGTGCTTTCAATGTCCTTTAAGAAACACCATAGCCTACATGGTGCAGGACCGCCTTGTTGTCTTTAAGAGTAAAAACAAAACAGTGCAGATATTGCTCCAGAGATTGATTGGCTCAGCTGCTCCATTAGTTTATGGATGATATGCGGATGAAAAGGATAATGTGATTTCCATTTCAGCACAGAATCTCCTCCAAAATCTAGATTCAAATTGTGAACCCCTGTCTGATACTATAACCTGAGGAATGCCATGCAACTGGAAAACTTCACGGGCAAATATCTTGGCCAGCTCAGTGGAGGATGGCAATTTGGGGCAAGGGTACGAAATGAGCCATCTTACTGAAACAATCTACTGTTATGAATATCACATTGTTTCCCTTGGATGGAGGTAAGTCCACCATAAAGTTGATGGAAAGATGAGTCCATGGTTTTTTGGGGATTGGTAACGGCTGTAATAAGCCACAAGGTACCTGATGAAAGGCCTTTGCTTGTGCACATACAGAACATGCCAGGACATACTCTTTAACTTCTCTCTGGAATGAAGGCCATCAGAAATCATGAGAAATCAAATGAACAGTCTTATTTATACCTGCGTGTACTGCAGATTTGGTGTCATGTACATTCATTTTTTTTGTCCATTGGGACAAACATTTTTCTCCTGGGTGTGTCAGGGGAAGCCTGTGTTTGTGCCCTTTGAATATTCTCCATCAAAGAACTAAAATACAGATGTGTGTTGGCACACAATCCTGTAACTGGGTGCTGGTATTGAGGTTAACCACCTGTAATTACCTCAAACAAAATATACACTAAATACAAAATATTGATACCGCACACCAGATAATTTGCTGAAAAAAATCAAGAAGGGTTTTAATTCATATTCTATACAAGGCAATTCATTAGTGCATTACTTCAATCAATTCTACAATCAAAATCAGCTATAACAGCTTCATTCTCTCACACACCGCCAGGACCACGAAGGAATGATGATCCCAAGCGCGCAGCCCCCAGGTG